TCACATGTAACTGTGTTACTAAGTATCACATGTGTAACTGTGTTACTAAGTATCACATGTAACTGTGTTACTAAGTATCACATGTAACTGTGTTACTAAGTATCACATGTAACTGTGTTACTAAGTATCACATGTAACTGTGTTACTAAGTATCACATGTAACTGTGTAACTAAGTATCACATGTAACTGTGTTACTAAGTATCACATGTAACTGTGTTACTAAGTATCACATGTAACGGTGTTACTAAGTATCACATGTAACTGTGTTACTAAGTATCACATGTAACTGTGTAACTAAGTATCACATGTAACTGTGTTACTAAGTATCACATGTAACTGTGTTACTAAGTATCACATGTAACTGTGTAACTAAGTATCACATGTAACTGTGTTACTAAGTATCACATGTAACTGTGTTACTAAGTATCACATGTAACGGTGTTACTAAGTATCACATGTAACTGTGTAACTAAGTATCACATGTAACTGTGTTACTAAGTATCACATGTAACTGTGTTACTAAGTATCACATGTAACTGTGTTACTAAGTATCACATGTAACTGTGTAACTAAGTATCACATGTGTAACTGTGTTACTAAGTATCACATGTAACTGTGTTACTAAGTATCACATGTGTAACTGTGTTACTAAGTATCACATGTAACTGTGTTACTAAGTATCACATGTAACTGTGTTACTAAGTATCACATGTAACTGTGTAACTAAGTATCACATGTAACTGTGTTACTAAGTATCACATGTAACTGTGTAACTAAGTATCACATGTAACTGTGTTACTAAGTATCACATGTAACTGTGTTACTAAGTATCACATGTAACTGTGTAACTAAGTATCACATGTAACTGTGTTACTAAGTATCACATGTAACTGTGTTACTAAGTATCACATGTAACGGTGTTACTAAGTATCACATGTAACTGTGTTACTAAGTATCACATGTAACTGTGTTACTAAGTATCACATGTAACTGTGTTACTAAGTATCACATGTAACTGTGTTACTAAGTATCACATATAACTGTGTAACTAAGTATCACATGTAACTGTGTTACTAAGTATCACATGTAACTGTGTTACTAAGTATCACATGTAACTGTGTTACTAAGTATCACATGTAACTGTGTTACTAAGTATCACATGTAACTGTGTTACTAAGTATCACATGTAACTGTGTAACTAAGTATCACATGTAACTGTGTTACTAAGTATCACATGTAACTGTGTTACTAAGTATCACATGTAACTGTGTTACTAAGTATCACATGTAACTGTGTTACTAAGTATCACATGTAACTGTGTTACTAAGTATCACATGTAACTGTGTTACTAAGTATCACATGTAACTGTGTTACTAAGTATCACATGTAACTGTGTTACTAAGTATCACATGTAACTGTGTTACTAAGTATCACATGTAACTGTGTTACTAAGTATCACATGTAACTGTGTTACTAAGTATCACATGTAACTGTGTTACTAAGTATCACATGTAACTGTGTTACTAAGTATCACATGTAACTGTGTTACTAAGTATCACATGTAACTGTGTTACTAAGTATCACATGTAACTGTGTTACTAAGTATCACATGTAACTGTGTTACTAAGTATCACATGTAACTGTGTTACTAAGTATCACATGTAACTGTGTTACTAAGTATCACATGTAACTGTGTTACTAAGTATCACATGTAACTGTGTTACTAAGTATCACATGTAACTGTGTTACTAAGTATCACATGTAACTGTGTTACTAAGTATCACATGCTAAACTGTGTTACTAAGTATCACATGTCTCCACCAACTATATTCTCCACCTCTTAATTAACCTACATTATTATTACTCATTATGTAACGTTACACAATAACGTACGCATACTTCTGGACGTGAATGAAAGAAACGTGTTCCAAAAGGAACACCAAAATTTGACTCGGGGGTTAAATTATGGGGGATAAAAATATGGACTGTTATAAATATGATTCTTTGGCCCGAAAAGGACCAAATTAGACCCCAGTAATACTACCGACTATGGTAGACTGAGATGTAATTTATGACCGTACTAGCTTACTAGATCTTCTTTGTGGTGTATTTAAAGCAATGTGACGGTTTACAGTACCGCAGCATGTCGGTCTAGGTTAACTTTAGTCAGACTCACTTAATTAATTTGTTCATTCCACAGAGTTTCTTAGCAGGGCTAGGAGAACCTAAATGAGCTCGAACCACAAGGGAATGTGCTTGAAGTTGTTGAAACAAAGCAGCGATATTAACCCGGGCTTAGCGATATGTATGTCATATTTATAAGCCGAATGACCAGATGAAAACCACTGTTTTTCATTCTCCTACTATCATCCAGATTGTATTCATGTGACTATAGGGTAGTAGACTATAAATGCATTGTATTGTTAATGTAATATTTGTGAAAGTTTCAAACCGTATTCTTTCACAAAACATTCTAGCTCAGTCCGTTTACAATTACTGCTGTAACATATTGCTTTTGTTCAAAAAAGAGAAAGGGGAACTGTGAAGGACTTATTTTGACGTAGGTCGGATGTAATATATTGGGGGGATTCGAGGGGGTGTAATTTGAGATCGTTCTAGTAGGTTACAATGTATACTAAAGATAAGGAAAAAGAGGTAAGAGAGACTTGTTGATGTTGCTGTGGTTATTGGTCCCTGGACAGGCTTAGGAAGCCCTTTCGCCGCGTAAGAGACGTTTACTTAAATAAGTCGTGTAACCAGTGCATCTGAAACTTTAAGCTTAGTCAAACTATTTGTTTGCATTTTTAGGTGTGAGTAAATCTTCTGAACTTCATACTATTATACAGTAATGTTCTTATTATTTAGGGTAGATTATAACACGAAATTTCTCCTTGCTTTTTAACATATAAGACCTTCAAATATATTGTTCACACATATAATATATTGTTCACACATATCTCGTCACATTCACCCGATCCTGTAGTCACATTCTAATCATTCTACACCTAAGTTGAATAAATATAATGGCTACTGGGGTATATCTAATGGGGTTTCTTAGCAACGAATGACGAATAACCTCAAATGTTTTAGATAATTGAATCAAACATATTAATTTCTCATTTCTGTAATATAATTCACGAAAGTCAAAATCCAACCTCAAAATATCAAATATTACATCATTCGCGAGTAAGATAATAAATCACATAACTCAATGAAATATTGAAGGAATAATAAATTTATATGAAGGAGTAATTTGTCAGTGGATGCGAATTGGTATATTCATTTATTGCTTGTTTTTTGTGTTTAATTTATGATTATTTGTATCTGAGATTCTGTGATTAATTTATTTTGTTGATTGTAATATTGTGATATTGCATAATTTATTGTAAATATAATATATGTTTCAGAATTATGTAACGTGATGGAAATATTTTAAACGTGCATATCCTGTCCAAACACAGGATGCACTACATGAAGAATTAGCTGTAACTTTGTTTGAAAAGCATTAATATCACTGAGTTTACACCGTTCCTTATGAAACAAGAAATTATAAAAATTGTTCCCGAGGACTATTATAAAGCCTCATTACTCAGGAGATAATTTATACTATATATATATGTAATATATACTATATTACTGGAGATTCCAAGGAAGCACTGGATAGCTTCTTCATGTAATGACTTATAGAATACAGCTCCATCCCTCGATAATTACATTTTGACACTAAGTTTTCAAATAGATGGCAGATAATCCTGCATGTGAGACTTGAGGTCACGTGGACACCACGTCACCAGCAAACATCAAGCAATATAGAGATAATGTGCAGTGTGACGCGTCAGTTAATGGAGTTAGGACGCGTCAGTTCATGGTTAATCCCCCAAATTAAGGCATGTCAGAAATATATGAATCATGATTTATTATCTGACTCGGAGTCTGAGAAAAGTAAAACTGTAGATAGAGTAGGACACATTAATATTTAAAATGTTACCATAGCAACTAAGACACATTAATAACTTCGAATGAGGAACGTCCTGATCTAATCTGATTTTAAATTTTGATAAGTTCGTAATACATTTTATTTAAAAACATTTGACTGTTTCTTCTAATTTTTGACAGCCTATTTTAAAAGCTTCTACTGAAAAAAACTTGTTGAATGATAACATGCTGCCGTCAGCGTGTGTCTCACTCCACTTAGTACACAGCACTACCTGACTACCTGAGTCAGCGTGTGAATACAAATAAAAACATTAAATTCTTCAACACCTTGAAATACAGATGATAAATGAAACCATAAAATCATTATTATTTAACGCCATGAAACTGAGTGTTTACAGGACCTGTTTATTAGGTTCACTGTTTATCCAATAAACAATAAGTTTTATTTTACATTCCTTTAATCATGACAAGTGGTTGATTTTAGTGAGACAGGTCAGTTTCTCTATGATTTTAGAAAAATGTCTACTTTACAGTAGGCAATGCTGAGTGGCAGGAATGAAGGATCAATACGTTTGAGGCTAACAATGGCCCATGAATAATGAATATCTGACAATAATGGTGGGGTGTGGGCATTACATTAGTGGGGGGGGGGGGGGGGGTGCCATCCTCATAAATATACATTAATACCACATATACCTATTTTGAAATCGGAGGGAATAACAGGTATTTATGAGGTTGGCGAGATTTATATTACGGTAACCATGGTAACCATGCAATGGTTATTGTATTGAAGTTATGGAGTACAATTTCATTTTAGGATTGTACACAGAACAGAATGTTGGCTTGTTGGGACAGTGGAGTGATGCCCCCCCGCTTCCTACACCCCTGAGTGAGACACACAAGAGTCTTTCAGATTGTTCCTCCTAAAAGTTTATTTGAGGTCTAGTCAATGATAGACATTATTGTGCGTAACTATCAGATTGTTCGTCTTGATTTGTGACTAGTGAACATGAATTTAACAAATTCAGTATTATTTACTATATTTACAGTATTATTTACTTACCTCATTATTGAAGATTCCCCAAGCAGTATCTACATAATCTGCAAAAATTGACAGTCAATCACAAATATTCGATAATGGAAAATCATATCAATTGGAATGGCAACTTGCAGAGCTGAAGTGATCAAACTTTAATCTCCTCCCATCTATGTATTATGATGTATAATACATGTAAGTATATATTTCAGTAATTCACATAGTATAAGTGCCGGAGTGAGTTAATTAATTAAGTACCAGTGAACTGTTGTTTCTTTATCAGCTGATACGCATAACTTCGCCCGATGGCTCTGATACCCTTTGATGCACTCGTTCCGTAACTGGTAATTTCGATACCTGAAGTAATATAACAAAATCATTATACTATATTTGTATCATAACTAATGTTCTGGAACCATCAGTGAATACTGAATTAGTGAAAAGTAGTAAGGGCTCGAATTTAATATCTATAAAAGATATCATTATGTAATGAAATTTAATACATATAATAAAGATCAGGACAGACCCACTGGATCAGGAGAACTATTTTTAGAAGATATTGAATTGAGTGTAAAATAAACGGAAGTAGTTGAGTTTGTTTCTTACCGTTAGCTTTAGTGACATTGTCGTATTTCTGCTCAGCTAATGATACCACATAAAGTAAAGCTAGAATGAGGACCAACTTCATTGGTAGGAAAAAATTTGTTTCTTGTGTATGTTCTTTTTTAATCCAGATTCATCCTGAGTTTATTCACATCATCAAACAATTCATTGTGATCAGAATCAGAATTATGGTGGATCAAAATTTACACAGCACATAACGTGATCATATCATTTGTCAATAATAATGTCAATGGGCCAACGAAAATAATGATCACCCTCCTGCTATTGTCAAATCTTATATCGATAAAATTTTACATTTAAATATAAATCAGGGAACTATCAAAAGTGATATATAATCAGTGTCTGGTTGTGTAATGTGGTCGCATTGCAGACCACTACACTCGAGGGAGCTGGCTGAGGGGAGGGGGGGTGCAGTTGTGTCGGGTGTCCAATCGACAGACTCAGGGGGTACGGGCGCGGGCTTGGGGGCGGCCCCCCTCCCCCAACTGCCGTTGGTTATTTGCCGATGACTACACACAATACCACAGCAGAAAGTTAATTAATTAATTAAATTCTTCTAATGTATAAGGCAAGATTTAAAATATTACATCGAAGCTAGAAATTACCATGCATATAAGTTAGCACACGCCCACATGTTTTACACATTACAGTTAATAAAACAAATATTTAATAAAACAAATATTTATTTTTACGGCACAATCAAACAATATCAATAATAAATAAATCAGGGGAGGTTTGAAGAGGTTTCAAGTGCCGAAGGCCACTGCTTATCTTTAGGATTTGAGAGTGACCTGTGCTTGAAACCCCCTCAACCATCCACTACGTCAATATACTTGTTATAAAAATATAGAAAAATATAATAATCTAAAATTACTTATTGGTTTAGTTTGGTGACAAAGGAGAGCCCAGTTGAGTTTTAGTTTAGCTTTAGGTTTTGAATCACAGTTTAAAAGGTTAGCCATGTTTCATGGCAGAGAAAAGTTAGCCATGTTTCATGGCAGAGAGTTACACACAGGGCCTGTCTGTAATGTGTAACAGGCTACAGCAAACAAATACGGAAACTTGAATGAGTGAAAATAGGACACCACATGTGTACGATCTCAGCCGCGCAGTATGATAGCAGATAGTTCAAATTGTCCTGGACACCCTGATCCTATAAATTAACAGTATGTTTTAAAAAAAAGAAAAAAAAGAAAAAAAAAAAAAAGGGGGACCCCCAACCCATGTAGCTGAGACACCTCACAGCAAGTAGACCAAAGTGGCTCTTGCTTGTGAAAGGTGCGTCAACTACCCGCCGAAGCGGTGGGATCATTTCGTCCATAAAATTATATATACAACATAAAATAGTATAGTAAAATATCAAAATTTCAAAATTTACATAAACAAATCTAGGAGACCTCAAAGCTCGTCTTCTGGGGGATGAGGTTGAAGGAGATGTCATGCAGTTCAAGATGCTGGGCCGTTGATCTTCCTCTGATTCCTCTTAGTGCAATGAGTGTACTTCTTAACAGATCAAATCTAAATCGCGTTCTGATATGATTTTTGACTTGGCTCTTGGCTTCTTTTTTATGGTCAGCTATCATCTCAGAGACACGATCTACAAATACAGTGCATAGCGGTCCCATACCTCCAGTACGTTAATGCAATGATGTGCTTTGTAGCAGTTGTTAGATAATATCCACTCGAAGTTGCATTTTATATCCTTGAATCACGCAATATAAGTTTTTAAGCATATTATAGTGTCGACTTTCTATCACAACAAGACTGCAACCCATAGTAACAACTATAAACAGAACCCCTAATGTCTTTTCTTGTTTCATTTACTACAATGTAGAATATGTACTGAAGAGTGAAGGGTTATCCATAGATGATTCTTGACATTTTGGCTGGCCCCAGTGGCGTAACGAAAGGCCCTGCTGACCCTGCTGTGCAGGGGGGCGCCGTCTTAGGGGGGCGCCAAATCGTCGTTTGAATGTGGGACAATTTCGAAAACTTAACTAAAGTACTAGCAAAACTGCGCGTTTTGCTCTAGATACACACTTTTTTAGAGATTTTACCGGCGTTTTCTTTAAAATCACCTAATTTGTTCAATTTTAGGGAGGGGCACCAAAAGGGGAGGGGGCGCCAACTGGGGGCGCCAACAGGCAACGTTACGCCACTGCTGGGCCCCTTCTCATTTAAACCGATCACGTTTCCGATCATTCGTCTGAGTTGACATTACACAGATCTAATGGACCCTACATCCTAAACTTGGTGAGATTCGAACCCTAGACCTTCAACTTAGAACTCACAAAACTTTTATATGCTGCTCCAATATGGCTTAAAGATAACCTCGATACTTTCAAAGACTTTTATTATATGCCAGGGTCCTCTTGAAGATAAGCGGGGCCACTCACCATCATCCCAAAGATTTGGCCTCTGTTGCGCTTGGGATTCCATTATGATATGTTGCTCCTTTATAAAATAATTTTAATCGATCATGAAACATTTTGAAAATTATCAAAATTTACAAAATATCCAAAAAAACTTTCCCGGTATCAAATTACCAAAAATATTTAATTTGCAAAATCGAAATGCCTTTCTGATTTCGGTTGTCGTGGTAATTAGCTACAAGTGTGGATTTTAATGGATAATGGTAAGAAACACTTTTTACACTCTCCAGAGCCCTTACGCTTGCAGTAGCGCCGCGCATCAAATAATGTATATCGCAAGAAAACAACAATTTCAAGAAAACAACAATTTTATTTAGTATCAGTTAAAGCAGACAAAAACATATTTTATATATATAACTAGTGCAAACTTTAGACCATATATCTTAGGGGACTTGGAGTAGCAAGAGAGTGACCAGAAAGTATATGTATACTTTTACCAAAAATACGTCGAAATGAATCCAGGGTGATACAGGATCTGAGAGTGCAGACCATAAAGTTTACGCACCCACCCTTGCCTCCTGAATTCTTGGTTGGAAAGACAATTATGCAAAATTGGTCGTTTATACTCCAAGTCCCTTTGTTAATAGAAGTAGTATTATTTATGTCTGGAGTTAGCTTCATTCAATAATAACAATATCAATATAATCAATATTAATATCAATATCAGACTAAACTATCAAATAAATAAATTATCAAATATCAATTATTAATTCACTCTGATTAAAAAGTTATAAATTAGGATATCTAATATTTAAGAATTACAACTACAAGTTGTTAAAAACGCCCAAAATAGATCTGAGATATTTTCAGTCTGTAGTACAATAATGATAACAATAGTTTAAATTATGTTATGTGCTGCTGCAATTAGATTTAATTACTGTAACTTAAAATTGTTTGGAGTCCAAGTCTCTTTTAACCACACTTCGTTAAATCTGCGATGCATCATTGGGCCACGCCGAGCTGCAAAAGATTAACATTTTTATTGAAAACCTTATACCTTAATCAATTGTGGTGGAAGCGGCGAAATTTAAATAATTGAGTTTAAATTTTTTATTGACACACGCTTGACGCTGTTGATTGACGATGTCAATCCGTCGAGATCGTTGCTCTGCGAAGCAGAGCAACGATCTTCGACAACGATGCGAAGCAAGAATGCGAAGCAAGAATGCAAAGCAAGAATGCGAAGCAAGAATGCGAAGCAAGAATGCTAGTTTGCGCGGCGCGTCGAAGCGGCGAAGTCCTCCAATTGACGCTGCAACCCCTTTTGTTCGCGCGCGAAGCGCGCGCGGTCGGTGGGTGGGTGGCCGGCCGGTGTGCACGCCTCGCGTGAACGAGATCTGTGCCAGAACACGGCCCTTTAACAGGAATCTAACGATTTCAATGAATGGCAAAAAGTTAGAAAAAGTTTAATGTACAAAGTTTCTTGGGGTGATAATAGACGAACAGCTAAGTTGGGAACCACGTCTTAATCATTTATTTTTAAAGCTGAACTCCAGTATTGTATCGATTAAGAGAATTTGCAAATTCATTCCCAAATTTGAATATTTGAAACTATACAATGCTCTTTTTATAACACATCTTAGCTATTGTATAAGTTTCTGTGGTGGGATCGCTAAACATAAGCTGAATAAAATCTTTGCAATTCAAAAACGATGTATAAGTTATATATCCTGTCATCACTCCTGGAGTAATGGATATTATATGTTTATTTCAATAAATATAATAATCAGTAAATTAGAATAGAATCTTGTCTTCTTTTCAGCTCACTCTTCTGAAACCTTTTCCTCTACATTCTCCACCTCATCATCAACTTCCTCATCTTCATCATCAACATCATCACCCCTGTCTTCATCGCTGGTGGTGTGTGCGAGATTTAGGTCCAGTTCGTCAACAGGTATTGCTTTCTCATAATACCGTCCTCTGTGTCCTCTCACTGCAATTAAAACTGTTTTGAGTAGCTCAAATCGCAAACGACGTCTAAGATTTGCCATGATGAGGCTTTTGTCCTGGCTGGTCTTGGCTGCCAGAAGTGTTGCCACTCGTTTAAGGAACATGGTAGCCTGTGGGCCCATACCTCCGGTGGTCGAGAATACAAGGCCATTGCAGGTTCCTTTTTCGATCTGTACACATCGGTCTCCATATTTCCTTTCGTTCTCTCTCTCATGCTTATTGTACATCTTTGCTGGGGTGTTGTGATTAGCGTTGGATTTGGCTCCGGGGTGTAAAACCCTGATATCAAAAATGCCATCTCCATTGGTGACCACAGACCTCTAGCTGCAATGTCAAGCCTTGCCCCATCATCCAGAATGGTACCAGGGCGAAGGCTTTCTCCAGTGCATGGCTGGACGATGTATAAGACTGCTATTTGGTAACATTCCCAATTTTGATCATAAAGAATACTACTCAACCTGTGCACGTTCAAGAACTTATAACGAACATATGGCTAGCAAGAACTACTATCTTGAACACACTAAACCGTTATTCACTGAGCAGAAAATTATGAACCTGGAGAATCTGCACATGTACCATACATTTATGGAACTATTCAAAATTCTTAAATTTGATGTCCCCCAGTCGATTAAAGATCTTTTCAAGTTCTGTCCTAGAAATGAAAAACTTCGTCTGATTGTCCCATTACTGAGGTTAGATATCTCCCAACAGAACTTTTTGTACACCTCTACGAAAATTTGGAATGATCTCATCCCCTATGTATTCGAAATATGTGATGCTAATGAAGATGGGATAATAATCCCGGTTTTTCCAAAAATTCAGACTTATCAGCCTCGTCAGGCATTATTAAATCTAACCTTAAAAAGCACTTGCTATCCCTCCAAAATCGAGATGACTCTAATACATGGTGACTAATCTATATTATATCTCAAATTCTACATCCGGTACGGCTCTGCACACATGATATCTCTCTCTGCCATGAAACATGGGTAACCTTTTGAACTATGATTTAAAACCTAAACCTAAACTAAAACTCAACTGGGCTCTCCTATGTCACCAAACTAGACCAATAAGCAATTTTAGATAATTATGTTTTTCTATATTTGTATAATAACTAAGTATATTGACGTAGTGGATGGTTGAGGGGGTTTCAAGCACAGGTCACTTTCAAATCCTAAAGATAAGCAGTGGCCTTCGGCACTTGAAACCTCTTCAAACCTCCCCTGATTTATTTATTATTGATATTGTTTGATTGTGCCGTAAAAATAAATATTTGTTTTATTAATATATTTTGTTTTATTGTACATCGTGTAGCAAATTTTGTGTTTAATTAATTTTTAGTTTTGATGTTTAAAAAGTTTTGAATGTGTTAATGCGGTCAAAATTTCAAATTTAAGAGTTTAAGTTTAAGTATATTTTATAGGGTAGCTCAATATTTTCTTACTTATTTGAGAAAATACAATTTTGAAGAAATACAATTTTCTTTTGATTTTATCCTTTCGTGATTTTTTCTATTTTATTGTTCTAATTGTAGTTTTGTCGTCAAAGGTTGTATATTTGGACCTAGCCAATTTTTTACCGTTCAGCAGAGATTGTATTTTTCACAAAGTATCTATTATTCTGAGTACTAGATCGTCATGAGTATTTAGTTGAAAATTTATTTAGTTGACAATTTACTTATTCAATATTGATTAAATGCTAGAGTTGTAATAATACTTTTTATTTCGTCATTTGGCTTTGTTTATTACAGTGTTTTATCCTGGGTGGTAGTCAGTTACGCTACAGAAGCGGAAAGTTAGTTGATGTATTCTTGATTAATGCCTTTTCTTTACCTTAGATTGTATGTCAGATGAACAGATGTAGTGATATCAAGTCAGACCTGTCATGAAAGTTGTTGCCTCTTTTGGGGACACAGCTCTGTACAACAGTGATCTATTAACACTTTCCTCTCCTGAATATATCACCGACAATGTCATATCATTATTTCTTGAAATACTCAACGAGGAATGTGAGGAAGTATTTTCCATTTCTCCGAGTGTTGTTCAGCTCATGAAGTTAACAGAGCCCTCTATGTTGGTAGAAATGTTTGCTGGCCTAGGGTTGAGCGAGTATAAAATAGTCTTGTGTCCAATTAATGACAGTAGATCAACAACATGTCAGATGTCTGGTCAACATTGGTCGCTGTTGTGTTACATTCGAGACCAATCTACCGTTTTTCACATTGACTCTTTGAATGCTTTTAATGCAGCAGAAACTAAAGTAATGGCTTCAAATCTCTCACTTCTGATAGGGCAATCTTTAAAATGCAAGAATCTGTGCTGTGCTCAACAGAAAAATGGGTATGACTGTGGTATTCATGTCATTTACTTTGCAAGGGAAATAGTCAAATCTTTCAAGCTCTCTAAGACCTTTGATGCAAAAAGTGTACAAAAGCCACTACCAGAATTATATCGGAATTGTCTGATATCTGACATCGAAAAACTACACTAATAATTGGGATAACTCGAGAATAATTTATTGCTTATTTAACAATGAAGGTGAATTCATAATGCTTACGATACTTGATATCATTATTCCCAACCTTAGCAAGATATTTCTTTATTATTATTGTTATGACATTGGCTGTATATTCGATATTACTGTTTCTGGTGTTTTTATGGTTATAATTGGTGAATAGTTGAACACTGGTGAACACTATACACTACATAAGGATCAAGTTTTGGTTCAAGGGAAGAATTTCTACACAAGTTAACTATTATATTTGAATATTTGATATTTATATGTTTTCATTTTTGTACTTTTTAACATTTGCTTGAGAGTTATTCCCTCCTCAAAGTTAAAAATTTTGATATTTCAACATCTTATCGACTTATATTCGCAAAATACTATTACGATCGCTAAGAAAGTAAGAACAATTGTGACAAGATATTTTATTGGACTATCATACTTGAATGTATTAAATATCATATATTTTACACTATTAATTTGCACATCAACTGACACCAGTTTAAAATTATTACCAATTCCGATCTTATCAAACTGAGACTGATCACCAATTTCCCAGTTGAGTCATGTTATTGGTGGCAGTGTCACTTCTCATTGGAAGTGTGTCCTGTTTCTATTCCACTGGAGATAGCGTGGTGGTGTTGAATCCAGCAAACTTTGACGACAAAGTTATGAACAGCGATTCTATTTGGGTTGTCGAGTTTTACGCACCATGGTAGGTGACCGTGGTGAATCAAATTTTCTGCATAACATTTTAGGGTGGTGGACCAAATTTAAATGTCACTAAGTAAGACAAAAAGGGCTGAACACCGCTACAATGCTAGATCTAATCTACAAATTTGTCAAGATTCAGTTTATTTTTGGCCACCCAAAAAATATCTATATACATGTATATATATATTACATCAGGTGTGGACACTGCAAAGCTTTGACTCCAGAATGGAAGAAAGCTGGTAAAGCCCTCAAAGGGATTGTGCAGATTGGAGCAGCCGATGTGGACCAGCACAAGGAACTTGGAAGCAAATTTGGTATTCAAGGATTCCCAACTATCAAAATATTTGCTGGAAACAAGAATAAGCCAGTAGATTACAAGGGACCAAGGTTTTTTAATTTATTTACAAATCTACACTGTTTTATATACCATACTACACATTGAATTAGGATTCCTTTAAATATCAAATTGATTTATTGTAAACTTGTTTACTCTGTAATAAATGGCATAAATGAGTTTCATTGCTAAAAAATAATACCCATTTTGTACCTCAACTGTTGTTAGTATGAGTAGCAACTTATATAGTTGCATATTTTATACAACTTTTATTATTCAGGACTGCAGCTGGTGTCATACAAGAAGCTCTTAGACTGGCAACAGTACTTGCAAACGACCGATTAGCGGGAAAAGGTGACAGCAGCAGTGGTGGTAAGAGCGGGGGTAAGAGCGGTGGCAACAAGAAGGGAAACCCTGCCGATGTAGTCGAATTAACCAGCTCTATTTTCAACAAAGAGGTCAGTTATAGAGAGGATTTGCATGAGAATTTTGCTGAACTGTCTAGAGTGCCCAATATTATGTAATGAGCTTGTAGCGCTAACGACCGGCTTCTCCCGTTAAGGGGACCTGGAAAATCGTCAAAAAATGGGGTCCAAGATTTTCAAAATCGAATAAAAAATGTTCTAAGGCCTATCTCAAAATTCGGCTCGACAGATCTCTTTTAAATGATCCCTAGAACATATCCTGAAAGTTTCAGGATGATTCCTCAAAAAATGTAGGAGAAGATAGATTTTTAGACTCGATTTTCAGGGCGCGCGATTGAAAATCGCTCGCGCAATACAATTACACATAAGCGCTGACCTTTGACCAGCGATAATTTCGGCTAGGAACAATACTTCTCCATGGGACCAAAAGCAGCTGATAGATATTACTCCCCTCTATCAGAAACAACTATAAAATCAATTTCGAGATAATTTCGATGAAGACCCCCCCAGCCCCCTTAACAATATAATGGCGCAGGTGTTGGACAGTAAGGATATGTGGCTGGTAGAATTCTACGCTCCCTGGTGCGGGCACTGTAAGAAGTTAGCTCCCGAGTGGGCTAGCGCTGCTACATCACTCAAGGGAAAAGTAAAGCTTGGTGCTGTGGACGCTACCCAGTTCGGGGATCTTGCTCAACGATACGGTGTCAAGTATGTATATTCTTTACATTCAGACCCCCCCCCCCCCTTTAAGTGGGTCGTGGAAAATATCAGAATTTTCTAACTGCTATTATATTGACTATTGAGGTTAAATAATGATGATATGGAATTTGAATATTATATAAATTTACACTATGTGGTTGGGGCATTTTGCATAGTAAATATGGTTACTACTCCTATATATCATATTATTTGATTGGTATTCGATTTCTGATTATTTTCCTAGGAATATGATTATTATATCTCAATTTGGCTTTAGGTAGGGTGCCCCGCTAAAAGAACTGGATTCTTCCAGGAAGCATCCCGTGCACAGAGCTTGGTCTACATATATATTAAATTATTAAGGCCAGAGGGGGGGGGGGGGGGTAAAAGTCGATTTTCCAGTTTTCACATATTTGATCAGAGCTGCTGGAGACGAACAAGAAGAAAAAAACCGGATCGAAATCTGACCTTGCGTTTTAAAGATATCGCGCGCCAAATATTGAGGTTTACATGTAATTACATGTAAAACTTTAACTTAAACTGTAAAAAGTTAAACATCCCTTAGTTGAGAATACTGGCCACACCCAGAAGCTGAAACTTGGCACAGTTGTTCCTTGGGCTGTCACCCACAATTCTATTGCACAGAATTTTGATATTTGCCTCTGTTCTCGAGATATGAGGTTAACTTTACCCCATTTTTCGAAAAATGTCGAATTTGGGGTAAAGTTAACCTCATATCTCCGGTTTTTTCTTCTTGTTCGTCTCCAGCAGCTCTGAACAAATATATTTCAATCAAAAACTGCAGTTTCTCTGATTGGGTTTAGATTTAGTAACCACTATTTTCTAACTATGTATTTTCTAACCATTTTCTAACTTCAGAGGATATCCCACTATCAAGTATTTCCCGGCTGGAGCTAAGTTGGACGCGGAAGAGTATGACGGGGGCAGGACTGCAGGAGATATTGTGTCCTGGGCTGAGGCTAAACTGGAAGTGTTCGCTGAACCTCCCGAGATAAGAGAGGTAACCTTACAGTGTTATCATTACCACAATTACAACTTCTTTTTAGTTTGTCTGTCCATAAAACTGCAATTTTGTTTTAAAATCAGGTTATTCGGAATTACTGGGATCTAAAAGGCCTTGTATGTTAGTATTTCAACTGCCAATTTGCACTCCAATTGAAGAATGAAAATTGGACAAATAATATACCGATCTCATATTGTCACGAAGTTTATTATACATATAATATATATAATATAATTTATTATCAGCCTATCTTTCCAGTTGTTGAACGATGAAATGTTTGCGGAAGAGTGCCGAGAGAAGGGGATATGTCTGATCAGTATCCTGCCTGATATCTTGGATACAGGTGCTGAAGGAAGAAACAATTACCTCACCACCCTCAAGGAGCTCGGTGATAAATATAAGAAAAGGAAGTGGGGGTAAGTGGTGGCCTATGGGCTATTTCTTGTATTTAATCTCTTTTTGTTGTTAACTTATCTCGTCATTCCTAAAAAAATTCCTTGTTCTTTTGGATATTAATCGATATTCGGTATTACCTGTGATTTTGCGAATCAGGAGTTGTTCTATTAACATTTGTGATTTTTTAATTTAACGACCATTGAACCTCAGATGGGCATGGAGTTTTGCTGGAGAACAAGACAAACTTGAGGCTGCAATTGAGGTCGGAGGCGCTGGTTACCCTACCATAGTCGCCCTGAACATCAAGAAAAACGCTGTTCTTCATCACAGAGGTGGTTTCAGCAAGGACAGTATCAACGAGTTCCTCCAGTAAGTAGAGCCACGAACAGTTTCATTAAATCGTACCGTAAGGCGTTTTTGGAAGCCGCGAAAACAATTTTATAGATCTCCATACTGGAGTAAAGCGCGCGCATGTGCGCGCATCAGATCTACGTAACTCAACTCGATTGTGACACGTATGTTTTAGAAAGCAGGTGCAATGTATTCCGCTATTGTGTCGAGACACGTTCGCTACACATTGCACGACACGTTCGCTACACATTGCACTACCGAGTAGCACCATGTTAAAAGTTCGAAAAATTAAGACATATACAAAATGAAACTTTGAAATTTGATCGATTGCTTGTTAAGTAAATCAATTGCGAGGGTACTTTGTAATTTCTGCTTTTTGGACTGGTTGCTAACTTTGCGTATATCAGGTACGTTATTGCTGGACGTATAGCTCCTGCTGTTCTAAGAAAGGACGTTCCTAAGTTGAGGAAAGCAACACCATGGGACGGCAAAGATGGACAGGTATACAAGTTAATTTGATGACTTCCAAACGCTTGTTACTTGTGATCCTTGTTACTTGTTACTTGTTACTTGTGATCCTTTGATCGATAATCTGAAACATAAGTTATAACTACATCTCTTCCTTCCAGATGCCAGAAGAGGAAGATTATTCGGATCTGGATGATGTGGACCTGGACGATATTCCTGTTGACGAGGAGGGATCTGGTCACTCGGAGCTCTAATGCTCGGCCTGCGCTCTAAATTAAAAGATTATTAGCAGTTTTATTCGCTGTGTTGACGTACTTTTAACATTTGGTTTCTTAAATAAATTCTTAAGGGGAGAGGAAGCTTCTAGTATTTATGATTGATATTGCTGATATAAATAGATAAATACACTATATTGCTTATATATGTATAAATACACTATATAAATGCATGTTTTGTTCAGACGAATAGGTTGGCTCTGTTTCGATATTTTATTTTATTTTCCATTGTAATATTTGAAGTTTATATTCCACTGAAAAAAGAAATTAAATGGATTGTTTTCATTGGTCAACAACTTAGTTACAAGCTGCTGGAAATCTCTGAGTGTCTACAGAATATACAGTATTTGTGTCACTATTCGCGGAAATCAGGTGTAACAAATAACACTCTTAAAATGTCTTTAATAATATGATAATACTACTCTAAAATAAAATGAAACAAACAATTCATGTATTTTAAATCTTGAAACATAATCGAAATTTCACGGTATGAAAGGGAGAGCGAGGCTTTTCATTTTCTGGCGAAATCAGATATTTATAACAACAAATTCAACAGCTGGTAGGATAAGATCCAGGTTTTGATTTAGCAGCCTATAGCTAGCATATCAAGCTTTGTATAAGTTCATTTGTCCCAACTTGAACCTTTGTGTTTATCATAATAGTCTGATTAAAATTAACGAACAACTAGTTTCAAACTTGTAAAATATCATTCACTGCTATGTTTCTGAGATAACTAACTGTCTGATCTCTCTTTGAGTCTCGGCCATATTCAATAGGGAACTCTGCAAACATTGACAAGAGTTCTATATCCCAATGTCACCCATTCTAGAGAGTTATAATCCCAGTGTCACCCATTCTAGGGAGTTCTAATCCCAGTGTCACCCATTCTAATGAGTTCTATATCCCAGTGTCACCCATTCTAGGGAGTTCTAATCCCAGTGTCACCCATTCTAGGGAGTTCTAATCCCAGTGTCACCCATTCTAGGGAGTTCTAATCCTAGTGTCACCCATTCTAGAGAGTTCTAATCCCAGTGTCACCCATTCTAGGGAGTTTAATCCCAGTGTCACCCATTCTAGAGAGTTCTAATCCCAGTGTCACCCATTCTAGGGAGTTATAATCCCAGTGTCACCCATTCTAGGGAGTTCTAATGCCAGTGTCACCCATTCTAGGGAGTTCTAATCCCAGTGTCACCCATTCTAGGGAGTTCTAATCCCAGTGTCCCCAGGTAACGTGCCCCTTACTGGGTGTCCCCAGGTAACGTGTCCCTTACTGGGTGTCCCCAGGTAACGTGCCCCTTACTGGATGTCCCCAGGTAACGTGCCCCTTACTGGGTGTCCCCAGGTAACGTGCCCCTTACTGGGTGTCCCCAGGTAACGTGCCCCTTACTGGGTGTCCCCAGGTAACGTGCCCCTTACTGGGTGTCCCCAGGTAACGTGCCCCTTACTGGGTGTCCCCAGGTAACGTGCCCCTTACTGGGTGTCCCCAGGTAACGTGCCCCTTACTGGGTGTCCCCAGGTAACGTGCCCCTTACTGGGTGTCCCCAGGTAACGTGCCCCTTACTGGGTGTCCCCAGGCAACGTGCCCCTTACTGGGTGTCCCCAGGCAACGTGCCCCTTACTGGGTGTCCCCAGGTAACGTGCCCCTTACTGGGTGTCCCCAGGTAACGTGCCCCTTACTGGGTGTCCCCAGGTAACGTGCCCCTTACTGGGTGTCCCCAGGTAACGTGCCCCTTACTGGGTGTCCCCAGGTAACGTGCCCCTTACTGGGTGTCCCCAGGTAACGTGCCCCTTACTGGGTGTCCCCAGGTAACGTTCCCCTTACTGGGTGTCCCCAGGTAACGTGCCCCTTACTGGGTGTCCCCAGGTAACGTGCCCCTTACTGGGTGTCCCCAGGTAACGTGCCCCTTACTGGGTGTCCCCAGGTAACGTGCCCCTTACTGGGTGTCCCCAGGTAACGTGCCCCTTACTGGGTGTCCCCAGGTAACGTGCCCCTTACTGGGTGTCCCCAGGTAACGTGCCCCTTACTGGGTGTCCCCAGGTAACGTGCCCCTTACTGGGTGTCCCCAGGTAACGTGCCCCTTACTGGGTGTCCCCAGGTAACGTGCCCCTTACTGGGTGTCCCCAGGTAACGTGCCCCTTACTGGGTGTCCCCAGGTAACGTGCCCCTTACTGGGTGTCCCCAGGTAACGTTCCCCTTACTGGGTGTCCCCAGGTAACGTGCCTCTTACTGGGTGTTCCCAGGTAACGTGCCCCTTACTGGGTGTCCCCAGGTAACGTTCCCATTACTGGGTGTTCCCAGGTAACGTTTCCAGTTCCTCGTCCCCGTTCGGAAGATCTCTGTGCATGTAATGTTTTCCTAGTGTATGTAATGTTATTTTAGTTTTCACCTTTCGCTGCTGTGCCTCTTGGTCTGCTTTCTGTAAGAGTATTGATTAGGGGGCCAATAATATTTGCTGTGATGGTTAAATCAGCTAACAAAGTGAAAAATTGCTATTATCCTCCAAAACAGATTCCATTTTACTCTTTGTAAATTACCAGTTCACGTTACGGTCATCCCAATTCATTGATCGTCATTTTAATTTAATATTGAATATTCAAAATCGACAACCGAATGCCTGGTTCCAACTATGCCTTTTGATAGTCGGCAGTCGCCCTCGGTACCCATTTTGATTTACCTGTTTAGCTCTGAATGTGACATAATTCTCGTGAATCATCCTCAACATGTATTCCAGGAACTCCAGAACAGTAAAAATGCTCGCCCCCAGAAAGAGACCCAATACCCCACCAATATCTCCTGATAAACGCATTTAGTTTTACACACTGCTAATTTAGGACTTAAAGTTAAAATATTCATACGATCTGATGCTCATCATTAGCAAACATAACGACAATTTGATAATTTGACAAAATGTTTTGCAATTTCAGTATCAGCACCCCTGACCCCCTTCTGAGTAAAGCAGTATCACTCAATTAAGGCAATCAGAACAAACTGCCTTGTCTGTTGTCAGGTACTTAAAGAATATATTTACATGATCTCAACTTAAATACATGATTATATAATTAATGGAAACAAAATTGTTACTAACCGAGAAGGTTTCCAAAACCATAAGAAATAACTTGATTGATAGTGTGTTTCTCAATTGAGGGGAAACTAATCTTTAAAATCACTATGTTCTTCTTTACCATCTCAGTAATAATTTTGCTCTTTATTTCGTTTACTCCTAAAAATAGGGATGTTGTAATGTTCATGTATTATTCCTGAACGTGATTCAGTGTTTCACTTTCATAATCTAAAACATTATTTTGCATTCATTCATCGACACTCAAGAATTTATCGGATCTAATGGATCCCGTTGACAAATTATTGCTTTGGTTGACAGGAATTTGTTTCGCCACCGTGTGACGCTCATAGTCCTGCCTGCTGCATGACTAACGAATAAATCGCTCGCCCAAATTTTTAAAAGTCTTGTCAGCACTTGTGAAATCTTTAAATAGGCATATATATTTTACCAAAACCCATAATTAATTGGGTAGAGTGGACTGAAACTTAGAGCAATCGAAAGTTATTAAAATTCGTAAGGCCGTGAATGAATGGGAAAAGCGAGCGATCGATTTTATTATCGGTATCATTTTGCATTTGCAGACGGTCATTGAAATTAAAATCATTTCCTTTTGTTTGGGAAAGAGAGACACTGGCAGCGGTCCACTCTACCCAACTATGGGTTTAATTAAATTGGTCAAATATCATCTATTTTTGATTAATGTCGGGGTACTTAACAACTTTACAAAGTCGAAACTGATAATTTCATTAATAAGGAGGTAATTTCAACGATTTCGAAATTTTACCTTTGAAAAAATTTCCTTGTGTTTAGGTAAGCATATCTGTCGATAACTATCTGACATGAATGTGCCACTTTATACTCATTCAAGTTAGCATTAAATTCATATATAAAACCATTTCACTATCGTGGGAAAGCAGCTAATCTAATCGAAATCACAAATGAGCAAAATTCTCACCTTTCGCTCGTGGCCGTGCAAACTTTGAGCGTTTGTTTGTTGTTGCGTGCGCATCCAATATTGAATCACCGTAAATTTTTGCATATTGGTATTTTATATATAGTTTAAGAAGCATGCAAAGTTTTAAAAGATTTCAAAATTGTAAAAATAGCCATTTTCAGTGATTTTAGCAATTTTTTAGCAAATCGGGCGTGTCCCCACGTGTGCTTTTTGATTTTTAACTTTTAAACTAGCCTAGTGTAAAATATAGACCTATAGGAAGCAGAACTGAGCTCCACGACCCAAGGGATGGCCCAACACCGGAGAATACTAAATCACAAAATGGGTGTTTTTATAAAATTATTCTTCAAAAAAGGACTAACTTCAATGACAATAGCAAATAATATTAATAATATCTTTATGAAGGAGCAAAAGCTAAAAAAACTTGTTGGTAAATTTTCAGAATGCTCGAAGAATTATTTAACTTCAATAAGTGCTCAAATTTTGAATAAAAGTACTCCTTAATGGTGTAAAATCGATTTTGTAACAACTTTAAGTTGTCAAAAATCAAATTTAAAAAACGGTTAATTTAATATATAATCAAGAGTGTTATAAGTATAAAAGAGTGCTGGCGCGTATTTTGCGCAAATTTCTTAAAAACCTCCAAATAACTATTTCTTATAATTCTTTTCATCTTTTACATTGAATTAGATTGTATTGAACTTATAATATGCCTGCTTAACGACTCTATATGAGTCTTAATGCCTGGAAAAACAGTAAAGGGGGTATACTAGTATATAGGGGGTAAATATGTAGTACTAGTAGAGTGAGTATAATGGCAGCGGTCGTGCTTGCCAGCACTGTGATGAGCACTTTGAACTTTCACAAACCGTCAACGAAAGACATGTTTCTTTTTTCGTTGTCTGTATTTGCTCTGGAGATATTTTCAAATCGATCCTTAACTTTTGATCTAACTGGTCTCTTTTTCGTTTCTTCTTTCTTTTTTCTTACTTCCTCCATTTTCTTTGTTACTTCATTTTCTAATCGATGTCGGTACTCTTGCCATAACCTCTGCGTTCATTTCATAATGATAAACCAATAAAATGAAAAAAGTAATAGATTTGGCAGAGTTAAAAAAGAAATAGTTCCATAATGCCCGAAAATAAAGAAATGAACCCTAAACTCACTTGAATAAATCTATCAGAGAGCAGGGAACTAGACACGCTGTATTCGTACTCCTTGACGTTGCATGCTTTATCACATTTACAGCGTGATGCTCTGATCGTCGTGTTCTTGACTAAACAGTTTTAAAATTGCAGCAAAATTAAATAAAGGTATTTCGTGATATGAGAGTATTTAGCGGCCGAAAACAATATCCAGTAAATGTATCATTTATTGTTATATTTCTGAACCCTAGAGCGTAAAGTGATAGTCATATAATTGATAAGGAGAGATAAAGAACAACAAAACAATTAACAACAGATACTCACGAATTTGCTGGAGAGTTGTCACTACGCAATTATACATGTTTTTCATGGTACACAGTTTGGTGTTTGTATCAGTGTCACCTGCAGAACCTATAGTAGGAACAAAAGTTAAGAGACTGCACGTGTGCTGATGGCGCGTGTTTAGACTCCACGTGTTTAGACTACACGTGTTTAGACTGCACGTGTTTAGACTACACGTGTTTAGACTGCACGTGTTTAGACTACACGTGTTTAGACTCCACGTGTTTAGACTGCACGTGTTTAGACTACACGTGTTTAGACTACACGTGTTTAGACTGCACGTGTTTAGACTACACGTGTTTAGACTACACGTGTTTAGACTACACGTGTTTAGACTACACGTGTTTAGACTACACGTGTTTAGACTACACGTGTTTAGACTACACGTGTTTAGACTCCACGTGTGCTGATGGCACGTGTTTGTTCTTAGCACCATTACTTGGCCTTGTGAAAATGTGCACAAGAATGGACCTGAGATACAGTTTCAAAGTTTGAAACTGTATTTGAGATGGAGAGTGGGCCCTGGCCGCTCTTACTTTGCATTGTGTTTACTTGAGCGATAAAGAAGACTTCCTTGTGTTCCAGATGGACTATTGAATGTGTTTAATAATCCTGTTCCTTTTACGGAAGGCGCCTGAATTGACAAAATCACGAAATCTTTGTCTCTATACTTCTTTTTCTAACTATAAATGAGATTTCCCCCAATTTTATATCTTGATCAGTCAATATTCACGTTCGCTTATTTCAAACATTTGAGACTCATGACACTGTTTTCTAAAGCCCCTCTCCCCCTTTACCCCCCCCCCCCCCTTAACCCCCCCCCCCTTTACCCCCTGTATAAGTGCTGATCACAATTACATATCTACTCAGAAAAAAATGATAAAGCCTAAAGGTAGGGACGGAAAAACAAATGGTGGTGTATATATGTCTGGAAAACTTAAGACAAATTCATATAATTGCGTTATTACACGAATTACACACTTATTTCACAAAATGAAAGTTTATTATACATTCGGCAATTCTTACTAAGCTTCACATTTTTACCATCATGTCATATCTACTTCTACTTTTACTTTGAGGTCTACACGAACATCCTTTTACCCATGCCAAGGACTGATTCATCATTCAACCCCCGAACATTATTTTCGAGCCACACAAGCCACATTCCCCTAAAATTATTGTAATCTGAAAGATATATTGCAATTCGATTGTGATAGCTTGATTTGAAAACCTCTGATTGATCAATTGATCGCTCCAATCCCAAGGTTCTTGGGCCAGATATATTCTAATGTACCGTCACAATAGTGACTTTAAATAAATAATACAACTAAAAATACCAAATGTCTCGTACCCCTCCCCCTTTAACGTACCTTCTTTAAAAGGAACACAATCGCACATTTGGATTATGTAGGTCCTAAAACATTTATTAATGCATGTAGAGGTTCTGTACTGATCGTCCTGCACACAGTCCCCCTGTCCGTAGGGTTCTTTCAGCAAATACGTCTGAAAAATATAGTACTTAGTGCCCTGCTACTAGAGTACTTAGTGCCCTGCTACTAGAATACTTAGTGCCATTCTGCTAGAGTACTTAGTGCCCTGCTACTAGAGTACTTAGTGCACTGCTACTAAAGTACTTAGTGCCCTGCTACTAGAGTACTTAGTGCCCTGCTACTAGAGTACTTAGTGCCCTGCTACTAGAGTACTTAGTGCCCTGCTACTAGAGTACTTAGTGCACTGCTACTAAAGTACTTAGTGCCCTGTTACTAGAGTACTTAGTGCCCTGCTACTAGAGTACTTAGTGCCCTGCTACTAGAGTACTTAGTGCCCTGCTTCTAGAGTACTTAGTGCCCTGCTACTAGAGTACTTAGTGCCCTGCTACTAGAGTACTTAGTGCCCTGCTACTAGAGTACTTAGTGCCCTGCTACTAGAGTACTTAGTGCCCTGCTTCTAGAGTACTTAGTGCCCTGCTACTAGAGTACTTAGTGCCTTGCTGCTAGAGTACTTAGTGCCCTGCTACTAGAGTACTTAGTGCCTTGCTGCTAGAGTACTTAGTGCCCTGCTACTAGAGTACTTAGTGCCCTGCTACTAGAGTACTTAGTGCCCTGCTACTAGAGTACTTAGTGCCCTGCTACTAGAGTACTTAGTGCCTTGCTGCTAGAGTACTTAGTGCCCTGCTACTAGAGTACTTAGTGCCCTGCTACTAGAGTACTTAGTGCCCTGCTACTAGAGTACTTAGTGCCCTGCTACTGGAGTACTTAGTGCCCTGCTACTAGAGTACTTAGTGCCCTGCTACTAGAGTACTTAGTGCCCTGCTACTAGAGTACTTAGTGCCCTGCTACTAGAGTACTTAGTGCCCTGCTACTAGAGTACGTAGTGCCCTGCTACTGGAGTACTTAGTGCCCTGCTATTGGAGTACTTAGTGCCCTGTTACTAGAGTACTTAGTGCCCTGTTACTAGAGTACTTAGTTCCCTGCTACTAGAGTACTTAGTGCCCTGCTACTAAACACGATTATAAAGCGAATGTTTTTGTAAGTGACTTACTAGGAGTATAGTTGAATACAAAATTTGAATTAGTACTTAGTGCCCTGTTACTAGAGTACTTAGTTCCCTGCTACTAGAGTACTTAGTGCCCTGCTACTAAACACGATTATAAAGCGAATGTTTTTGTAAGTGACTTACTAGGAGTATAGTTGAATACAAAATTTGAATTTGAAAATATTAGGATTTTAAAATCCAGCGTAATGTACCTCTCTGTAGCCAAGTTGAATGAAGTATTGAAGTCCAGGCGAGACGACGAATCCTTTGTTTCCAACGTTACCTGCTTCCAAATGATCGTGGAAACTTATCTTGAATCCTTCACTCGGCTCCGTTAGCTTCATCTTGTAGAATGGTGATTTATGTTATTGTAAGATCACTTATATATATTAGTGTAAGATAACTAATATAATATATATATGTATATATATATATATACATATATTTATAAGATCTAATCCTTTTATATTTAAGATCACTGTTGGAGTACTAGTAGTGGGGATATTGAGAAACTGACATTTTGTAACAATTGAGCTATTCAGGTTATGAATGTAATTTTACGCAGTATTTCTGATTTACGATATTCTTATGCCAATGACAACGAATCCAGTCCTCAATTTTAATAAATATTAAATATAAGCTGAATCTTACCATTCTGTATTGTGAATTTTGAGCATGCAAGAAAAGTGATAGACCTCCCAGATTCCCCGGAATTGAAGCGTTTAGGAAACCGTTGGGGTTAATTTTGAAACAGTTGCCTTGGTGTGTAACCTGCCTCTGAAACCAATCATTGCCCATGACAGCCGAACAGTTTTTGAAACCGATCTTGCAGGTGAAGATGTCTGAATTCAGTGGCCCTCCATCTTTGTAGATTTCATTTAATGTTGTGTTACTTGCTGGGTCATCTGTAGAAGGATTTTTACAATTTTAAACTTTGCAAAGTTTTCATAGATATCATGGATCAAAAACGTTTATAAAGTTTTGTTAAAGATTTGTTGTAGAGTTCTCGTGGAGTATCCTTGTTTTACCTTGAATATGTTTTCCATTTGTCAGAATGTCGACAACAGCTTCCTTACCACCCAACAGACCAGAATCTTCCTTTTCATATATCATATTGTATATCTGCCTGAAGGGGTCATTAGAATAAAATGGGGAAAGTCAGAAAGTGGCGACCGCCTCCGCTACCACGCTATACGTGGGGGCGGCACCTCCGCTACCACGCTATACGTGGGGGCGGTACCTCCGCTACCACGCTATACGTGGGGGCGGCACCTCCGCTACCACGCTATACGTGGGGGCGGCACCTCCGCTACCACGTTATACGTGGGGGCGGCACCTCCGCTACCACGCTATACGTGGGGGCGGCACCTCCGCTACCACGCTATACGTGGGGGCGGCACCTCCGCTACCACGCTATACGTGGGGGCGGCACCTCCGCTACCACGCTATACGTGGGGGCGGCACCTCCGCTTCCACGCTATACGTGGGGGCGGCACCTCCGCTACCACGCTATACGTGGGGGCGGCACCTCCGCTACCACGCTATACGTGGGGGCGGCACCTCCGCTACCACGCTATACGTGGGGGCGGCACCTCCGCTACCACGCTATACGTGGGGGCGGCACCTCCGCTACCACGCTATACGTGGGGGCGGCACCTCCGCTACCACGCTATACGTGGGGGCGGCACCTCCGCTACCACGTTATACGTGGGGGCGGCACCTCCGCTACCACGTTATACGTGGGGGCGGCACCTCCGCTACCACGCTATACGTGGGGGCGGCACCTCCGCTACCACGCTATACATGGGGGCTCATTATTAAACTTAAAGAACAAACGTCCGATAGGTGTATTATCCCGTCTACTCTATATTCGGGGTACAAATTGTTTATTTCGAACTGTTTTACAGTTTTTAAACTCACTTGAGTTTTTCGTTTTTATCAAGATAATCCTTCCTGATTTTGTTGATATTACACAAGGATATAGTAGGAAAGGGGATTGCTTCAACATCGTCAGATCTTCTTATCTGTGAATTATGAGATAAGAGTCAGATCTTCTTATCTGTGAATTATGAGATAAGATCACTGGATTTCTTCGAGTTCTAACTTATGTCATTTAGTTATATGTCAACAGTAACGATATGGAGCTACAGTTGAAAGATAACATTTAGTTAGATGTCAACAGTAACGATATTATATATTATAAAGGAGCTACAGTTGAAAGATAACAACCAAACCTCAAACTTGGTGCCAGTGGGCCGGGACCTGTAGTCACATATACCCTTGTAACACGTATAAACAGTGTAAACCACAGCTGCCAGCCATACCACGAAGAAACAAGCTCGTGAGATTTTCTTTCCTTGAAAGAACAACTTGACCCCGTGTGCTGTGGTGTCCTGGGCGAACTCTGAGAAACTCTCTACAGCTCCTGTAGAGTATAGTGTAATATAGGGGGGGGGGGGGTGTGCTGTGGTGTCCTGGGCAAACTCTGAAAAACTCTCTACAGCTCCTGAGGGTGGGCACATCTTTTAGATTCATCTGATTAATTTTTTAGGAAAAGGCTGGTAAAAATAAAAAAGTTTTTTGGAGTCCAGGGTTTTCTATTTTTGGAATAGAATTTAGAGATCCGTTATTAATTATTTGTGCAATGTATCGAATTTTTGTAAACTATGTAATAGTACCTACAAACATTTTGAATTTAGCATGGAAAATGTATGTGATCGTCAACAGCACCAAAATGGAAACTGCAAATGTGTAGAGTCATCATGCCAAGTTATACCTTATAGTATACCTTATCGGACGTTATTTGACCGGAAATTGCGTGAACGGACCTAATTTGGAACGGATGTTAAAATGAACACTCAATAGGGGCCATCTATTTAGGACGTCCACCAAAATTTAAACGAACATTAAAATTAACGGACATTAAAAATAAAATGAACGCTATAAGCGTCTAATTATTGTCCGTTCAAATAAAGTTCGATAAGGTAAACCATATTTACAGCAGGAAATTAGTGGGAAATTGAAATGGTTGCTTAAACTGTGAAATTATTTGAACTTAGTGAGGAAGGTCGTTATTGAATACGTCGGAGTCAAGTCAGCTGATATCAGCTATTTTTCATAACCAGGAAACGGTGATAAGTCTACATATCACATTACTAAAAATGTGATAAGTCTACATATCACATTACTGAAAATGTGATAAGTCTACATATCACATTACTGAAATGGTGATAAGTCTACATATCACATTACTGAAAATGTGATAAGTCTACATATCACATTACTGAAAATGTGATAAGTCTACATATCACATTACTGAAAATGTGATAAGTCTACATATCACATTACTGAAGATTGGTTAAAGGGTGTGATCATTGTCATTGGGAAGAAAGGAGACACTTCAGTCTGCGGGAACAACAGAGGGATCACCTTAAGGTCTACAGCATCCAAGCTTTTTCAGATGATTCTTCTTAAGCACCTCCTGTCTTTAATTTCTGCCTAAACTTTTCTGCATTTCTGGCTGAGACCAACAAGATCATCAGTCAAGGCGCAGTGCTGCAGAAAGAGATGAAGACGGTCGAGGAAAAGGTCATTCTGGACACCGATTATGCTGATGACATGGCTATTATGGACAACTCAGGGGAAGGCCTACAGGAATCAACTGATCTATTAGTTCATTACAGCTCCTACGCTGGGCTCAGAATAAATGCAAAGAAGACCCAATGCATGGCTGTAAGCAAGTGCGCCTCTCAGCGACCTTTCATCAAGGATGATTGTATTGAGCTGTCGGTTGAGGGTGAACCCGTCGAGCAGGTTAGCAACTTTGTCTACCTGGGTGCAACTATCAGTGGGGATGGGACAATCAACAGAGACCTGGATGTCCGTATCCAGAAGGCTAATGGCGCCTTTCATCAGCTCTGGAACATTTGGAATAGCAGAACTATAAAGACTTCAACCAAGATCAGGATCTATAGGGCTGCTGTCCTCACCATCTTGTTGTATGGAGCTGAAGTCTGGAACACCACCAAAAAGCAGATGAAACGCTTCGAGGTTTTCCATCAAACCTCCTTGAGAAGGATCCTTAGGATTAAATGGTTCTTTCATGTGACCAACGACGAAGTTCTTAGGAGGGCTGGCATCAAGTCAGTTGAGACTTTCATCAGTGCTGCCAGGCTACGTTGGTATGGACATGTAGTTAGAATGCCAGACTCTAGACTACCGAGGTTTCTGTTAAACTGGAAGCCAAATTATGGAAAGAGGTCAAGGGGCAGACCCCGTAAGAACTGGAAGTCCTGCGTACTCGAAGATGCTGCTAAGTTTACAGGTGTTGAAAACATCGACAACGACACAACAGAAGCTTTGGCTACCAACCGAGTACAGTGGAGACATATGTTACGCCGCCAACGCGATGTGTGTGATGCAGGCCACTCCAACGACTAGGAGGAGACCTTACCATGTAACATGTATGTGTATGTATGAAAATGTGATAAGTCTACATATCACATTACTGAAAATGTGATAAGTCTACATATCACATTACTGAAAATGTGATAAGTCTACATATCACATTACTGAAAATGTGATAAGTCTTCATATCACATTACTAAAAATGTGATAAGTCTACATATCACATTACTGAAAATGTGATAAGTCTACATATCACATTACTGAAAATGTGATAAGTCTACATAAGGACAAACAGATTGAAGGAGTCGCGTACGTTACGGCACGTGCTAATTTTATACATTTATTTTCCCTAAGAGATGAGTTTCAGTTGATGTAAACGCCAAGTCACGTGAAATAGTAAGTTTAATTTCTCATCACTAGCAGGGCACTAAGTACTCATGTCTCACTGACCATTCTTTACGGATATAGATTAATGAGTGACTCAATGCTAATGTTCTATAATTTGTAATGAATACAATTTCACAATTTTGTAAGAGAATTTAATTTTTGTTGTTGAATCTTGGTATTATTAGAAGATCGGGGTAAAAGTATTAAGTATTAGTAAGTTAGTTAGTTATGTTTACCACGACTTATACATTGGACATTGTGTGAACGGACATAATTTTGAACGAACATTAAAATTAACGCTCAAAGCCAAGGGTATTAAAAACCATTAAAAATCCCAATGAACTGAACGTTCAAAGCAAATAGTCCACGAGGGTACTAGTGTGAATTGCTCCCTATACAAAACATTTTATCGTATTCATGAATTATAAATACTAGCAGAAACCCGTCTAACCATAAAGTGGTGTCAAGATAAAACAATATTTATTTATTTTGTGATTTTTACACCACTAGAGGGTCCAAATTTCGTGGGACCTAAAAGTAAAGTTATTATTTATTGGCCAATTTTTTATTTCTTCATACTGGTCAAAAGGCAGTAAAAATATTCGACCGCACGTAAAAAGTTTCGATGGTATATCTCTCACGGTTTTCGTGAAAAGTTGTGTTAAAGTTGTGTCAGTAAAATGATAATACATATATATCGTCTCGCTTTATAGAAAGTAAGATAAATATTCTGAATTGATTAAAGGTAATTTTATCACAAGTGAAAATATTGGGAACAGATTTAAGCAGGCTGTAGGCTGCAGGGTGGTGTCTGAGGTTGAACTCGTGCTGATTGTAAAATCTAGTTTACTGAGGTTAAAACCTTTTTTTGAAATACTAGAGAAGACTTGTGAAAATGAAAAATTCACAAAAGTTTCACGACTTGAGAATATGAACGACTTGTAAATATGCAAAAATGTCAAAGGAACTGTAAAGCTATAGGAACTGTAAAACTTGATTTAGGTACTGGTAATACTTTTCCTAGGTTGAACTTGACACTTGTCAGCGAGTATATTAAGATTAAACTTGTTTTGGTTTGTCACCATGCAGCAGCTGTCGGGAATCCTGTCAGTCTAGCTTTCGAAGGATTAACAGAACTTAAGCTTACGTGAGTTTTGTACGCCGACCTTTTGCACAATCTGTTTAAATCTACGAGTAGTATCTTTACGACCTGGAACTATTACAGAGGTCAGAATGAAACTAACTAATTGTCATAATATGGGACTTTTCAACTTACATCTGTTTATAATTAGATGACACTTGCACCGAGTGAGCTAAATCGCTCTACTCCCGGCCACTCTACTATCACTCTACCACCGGCCACTCTAATATCACTCTACCCCCACTATAATATCACTCTACCCCCCACTCTACTATCACTCTACCTCCCACTCTAATATCACTCTACCCCCGGCCACTCTACTATCACTCTACCCCCGGCCACTCTACTATCACTCTACCTCCCACTCTACTATCACTCTACCCCAGCCACTCTACTATCACTCTACCCCCCCCACTCTAATATCACTCTACCCCCGGCCACTCTACTATCACTCTACCTCCCACTCTACTATCACTCTACCCCCGGCCACTCTACTATCACTCTACCTCCCACTCTACTATCACTCTACCCCGGCCACTCTACTATCACTCTACCCCCGGCCACTCTACTATCACTCTACCCCCGGCCACTCTACTATCACTCTACCCCGGCCACTCTACTATCACTCTACCCCCCACTCTAATATCACTCTACCCCCGGCCTCTCTACTATCACTCTACCCCCCACTCTACTATCACTCTACCCCCGGCCACTCTACTATCACTCTACCCCCGGCCACTCTACTATCACTCTACCTCCCACTCTACTATCACTCTACCCCGGCCACTCTACTATCACTCTACCCCCCCACTCTACTATCACTCTACCCACTCTTTACGATTTAGCATCTGCTTCAATTGGGGATTGGGTTCCGGTTAGGGTTAGAGTTGGGGTCAGTGTAGAGGGTTGGGGTTTCGAATAGTCATTCTAGTTTTTGCATAGTGTTAATAGTAAATACATTTATGTATAGTACTGACCTCCTTTGCTGACCTTTTTCACCATGTCTTTAAATGTACCAACCCTTTTAAAACTTGAACCCGCAACTCTTTGAAAATTTGTCTTTTGGAAAACGTTATGAAAGCCATTGATTCCATTGACTCTATTGCTGCCATTGCCGCCATTATGGTTTTGTACATTCGGCTCAGGATTTTCAGGATCGATGGACATAGCAGTACATTTAACGATGCTAATGGTAATGCTAGCACACCTGAACATTAAAATACAAGTTAAGTTAGAAGGTTGTTAAGTTGTTAAATCAGGGTGAACCCCTTAAGTTGTTTGTCAACTGTGTGATCCGGTGATTTGTTGTCATACGTTGTATGACCCGCCGCGCACGAGTGCGCTGCTCTCCCTGTATCGTAGAAACTCTACACCATAGTAAAACGACCGTGGGGGTCACGACGTGATACAAGTGATTTGTATTAATTAATGCTTTTCAATCAAAGTTACAACAATGACTTTTTGTTATGTATCCTGGGTATGTTCAATATTTGAGGTAATAATAGTTCAACAAAAAATGAACCTTAAGTTTCACTTGAGTTTCACTTCGGAAGGACGTTTACAGTGTCAATATTTGATATTTGTAGCGCAATGCGTTACTGGGCCGCGCCGCGCACTCAATTATGCTTCTCGCAACCACATAGATCAGCGAAATGCGCTACTGGGCCGATCGCCGAGCTGAGAAGAATTGACATCGTCAATTAATGTCAATATTATATCAAGTAAGACAAGCAATTTGTCAGTATTATATCAAGTTTGACGGATGTTACTCGTCTAAATTTCTTCGAGGCAAGTGCTTCGAAGTAGCGCGCGCTAGGCGGGCTAGTTCATTAACATTAACAATAACAATGGACAAACAATATCAAGTAAGACAAGCAATGTTTAGTTATTTATAAATTCGTCCAGGTTTATGAATGATAATGATCAGCGGGATGCAGGAGTGTATGGTGTAGGAATGATTCCCAGGATGGCAGGATGCTCAAATTGTCATTATGGCGACGAAATGCAGTTCAGTTTTATTATGACTCATAATAAAACTTTTGTTTATCTGTGCGCGCTAATTGATGACATGACTCGTATAGTTCACGTGACGACGTTTCTGTGCGCGTGTCCCGTGACTGAAAGAAATGCACAATAACCACAATCCATTAAGGCACGTACAATGTTGATAAAATGTAGAACGGTTCGCTGCACCGGCTACCTTGAGTACCTAATTCCTGTGGTATGCATTTAAGCATGAATAAACGGAAACCATTGCCTGAATACTTTAAGCTTATTTGTTCTGATCGAAGGTTCGTCAGGAAAAGAAAAAAGAGGCTGGCGCCACTTATTAAATGACTATTGTTGTAATAACAATATTTATCCCATCTGATGCACCAAGTAAACATTAAACAATCAAATGATTTTATCTTATTAATATTATCGGGCCGGATAAGTATGAGTAACAGCTACATCCGGATAAGTATGAGTAACAGCTACATCCGGATAAGTATGAGTAACAGCTACATCCGGATAAGTATGAGTAACAGCTACATCCGGATAAGTATGAGTAACAGCTACATCCGGATAAGTATGAGTAACAGCTACATCCGGATAAGTATGAGTAACAGCTACATCCGGATATCACAAACAATTGCAGTATATTTATACAATATATTTATACAATATATTTATACAATATATTTATACAATATATGTATACAATATATTTATACAATATATTTATACAATATATTTATACAATATATTTATACAATATATTTATACAATATATGTATACAATATATTTATACAATATATTTATACAATATATTTATACAATATATTTATACAATATATTTATACAATATATTTATACAATATATTTATACAATATATTTATACAATATATTTATACAATATATTTATACAATATATTTATACAATATATTTATACAATATATTTATACAATATATTTATACAATATATTTATACAATATATTTATACAATATATTTATACAATATATTTATACAATATATTTATACAATATATTTATACAATATATTTATACAATATATTTATACAATATATTTATACAATATATTTATACAATATATTTATACAATATATTTATACAATATATTTATACAATATATTTATACAATATATTTATATATTTACACAATATATATAGCATTCCATGCTTATGTTAATGTTTCATGTGTAGTATATTTAGTCTTGTGGTAGTTTTAGGATTGTAAGGTATTAATATAAAAGTTTGTCGTCGTATGAACTAATTTTGTTATAAATTTTTGTTATGACTTTTTTGTATCGCATTTTTGGATAAAGTTAATTGAATTAAAAGTAAATAAATGTACACAAATTTTGCCTCAGATCTATGTTTTTTACGTTTTTAATTTTTGATAGAAATATTTTTAGATCATGAATACGATGTTGTAACATTGAAACGTTGAGTAAATTCCTTTCCTGATAAGAGCATTTTTCCTTGTCGCATCAAACGGGATCAATACAAAGAATACATATTGATATATAGTTTACTAAGATTAAGATAGGTTTAAAATTACAAAATTTGTTTTTCACATTAATAAACAGGAACTAAAAGGATTAATCATAAAAATAACGTAATGTAAATATAATGTCTGTTTAAGTAATAAACCACTTAGCTTTAACACCTAAGCGAGTAGTCAATAACTACATGTTGGTAATAATTGCAAGGCAAAGCAAAAGAAGGTCTACAGGATAAGTAAACGGTCGATGGTGATTGGGACCCATTGTAACCATGGTAACGCTGTAGTCAGGTAGTCAGGTAGTAGGGTATCATTCATTACCTACCTTATCGGACATAATTGTAACGGACATAGTTATTCACGCTAAGGTCTTCAGCGTGAAAGTAATGTCCGTGATAATTATGATATACTATCTTACTATTACACACTTAACTAGCACAAAATCATTTTATATACTTAAACCAAAACCTTTTTTGCCGGGACCCGGTATTTGACTTCATATTAAGAAAGTATAAATAAAAACAATAAGATTTGAAACATTGAAAAAATTTTTTGAGAATACGCACTTTCGGAAACAAAATGTTTTCTTTTTGGAAAGTTTTGGAAATTTTAGAAGTCTGTCGCAGTGGAATACCAATATTTCAGTTATTTTAAACGTTTTTTTGGCTGATGTTTTTACTGAACATTATTTACAATCCGTACAAGAAGCCCTTCAAAGGATTTTATAATTAAACAATAAATGACGAAGTTACAGACCAAGAAGGTCGAGAGAAGCAAAATTGAAATTTTTGCGAAAAATCAAAGTTGTATATTTTACCAATCACCAAGGTCGTAAGATATCGCTTCAAAAATTCTTGTGAGTGTAGCTGATGATCATATCAAACATTTTGGAACAGGATTTCTCTCAATTTTGAGTTTTAAGGTATGAAATCTGGCCTCAAAGGACTTAGTAAAATTCATCGTAAAAATGGGCCAAAAATGGCAGATTCGAGGCTTAAAATGCTTATAACTCCAAAAGTATCAGATTTTTTTGAAATAATTTTTACAGAATCGTAATCAGCTTGATAAGATGAATCTTTTAGTACCAAATTTATAATACCTACTTAAAGACACAAAATTTGTAAAAAAATGTGTACAATTTGTACAAAATTTATACAAGGGGGGACCCTCGTGTTGATCGAGCTAGAAAATTATTTAAGACAATTTTTCTTCTAAAATCATTTGGGTGATTGGTAAAATAGACAACTTTGATTTTTTGCAAAAATTTTAATTTTTCTTCTCCCGACCTTGTTTGGTCTGTTACTTCGTCATTTATTTTTTAATTATAAAAATCCTTTGAAGGGCTTCTTGTACGGATTGTAAATAATGTTGAGTAAACCATCAGCCAAAAAAAAACGTTTAAAATGACTGAAATATCGGTATTACAGTGACAGACTTCTCAAATACCGGGTCCCGGCAAAAAAGGGTTTTTGTGTATGTCCCCTTAAAATTATATGTCCCCTTTGTAATCTCATATCACAAAAAAGTCATATCTTATAAAATGCTGGTACCAAAAAGTACGTGGTACTAGTCGTACTTTTCAATTTACGTATTTCATACGTACTTTACTTGTCATCTAAGAATAACAAATTAACGCGTCATGACCAATTGACAAAACGGCAAATACAATAAATGTTATACCTGCAAGGAAAATACTGCCAAGCAATATGGACACCACGTGTTCTCTGACCAATAAAAGTACTTTTGTCGATCTTTGACAAACAATAAGAAGTGGCGCTCTCACTAATGGTTACCATGGTTACACTAATGCGCTTTTTGTGAACACTTTTTTCAGATAATGTCGTCAAATTTATTAGCTTATTGTAATGATCAGATACAGTAAACGTCAAAATAATCTCTAAGTCTATGTAAATGTTCTTTCTTGGAGTTGAGTCTACTATCTTGCCTGAATGACGGCTGTTTCACTGTATCTTCTACTTTATTTGTCAATTTGCTTTCAAATCTAAACTTTACGACGGTTTGACCGGAGTCACAAGAAGTATGTTATCCTGTGTGGATATTTTCCTCAGTTTATTTTTTGTCTCGGGTGGATTGAATCAAGACCGGAAAAGCAAACTTTAAAGGAGATCCTTATCTACACATGCTTCATAATATATATGATCATATTGTCACGGGTGCAACCACACTAATAATTCTATTGTTCGGTTATGCCGTATGCTGAAAGTATGATCAATTGTTTTGTCATCAGTAAAATGGTCGAATTCCACGCCTCTTCACAGTGCAATTTTTAATTTTTTTAATAAAGCAGTGTGCTGAATCACTCTACACTGAAACTTCAAGATTTATTTTAAACCTTAAACGGCAGTTGAAACCAACTTGGGTCAATGTGTTTTTGAACAATGATTCCGAATCACCCACATGACTTAGGCTTAAAGTGCTTCCTTGGCGAGTTATCAGCAAAAAAACTACTTTGATCTTACCTGGGGACCCCAGGCTATTATTATCTTAAAGATTCGGCAGAAGCCGAATTATGTTACAAAAACACAAATATGGTATAAACCAGCGAACAACAAACATGGCAAAAATAAGATAATAGTTCAAAAAATATCTCCAACATATCAATTTAAAATGTCTCCTTGAATGATACCTAGGCGTGCTCTGATCCAATTTATTCAACGTCAATAAAATACTGATTGCTCATTTTGAATAATTCTGTAAATTTAAATTTATAGGACAGTCCTGCTCCTAATTGAGGAGACGCTAATCTCGTAAGCCCAGAACTAAGAAAATTTCCTTGTGATATTAAAATGTGGGAGGTTTCGTGCAGACTAACTAACAGCTGAACCGAATTAAGAAATCAGATTTGACAATAGAATTATTATCGCAGCCATAATAATATTTATGAACGAGCGATCGATCAGTGCCGAAAATTTAAATATTTATATTTTCAGGACCAAATTGACCACCCGTCGGATTTAGATCACCAAATCAATAATAATAGTAGTATGGTTACATACAGGTAATTACAAATCATAATAGTATTTAACGAACAATTGGGCTAAGCTATGCAATCGCTGATTTCTTTTGTTTCCAAAGCAGATTTGGGCAAATTACCCACTTCTCTAGAAATATGAGCAATCTCCGCTGTATTTACCAGGTAACCATGGTAACACTGTATTTACCAGGTACCGCTTTATGTATTCAGCAGCACCATCATTAATGAATACCAATTACCAATATCATTACCAGTACAATTTTCAGCTAACGATATCTCAAGGAACTGGACCCGTACTCATCAACCCCAGATGGTGATATCCCTGCTAGGATACTGACCAAATGTAGCTTAGAAACATTGTCCGAGCCCATATTATTTCTACTCTGGCAAGATTCTTTTGAAACTGGAGTAATCCCTCCTAGCATGAAAACGCAGTTTATTACCCCTGTCTACAAGAAGGGTGACCGCACAGAGGCTGCCAACTACCGCCCTGTTTCTATAACATCGCATATCATCAAGATCTTCGAAAGAGTGATACGAAACAACCTTGTCGAACATATGGAAGCCAATAACTTTCTTTTACCGCATCAACATTGATTTCGCAAAAAGAGAACCATATTGAAAAGCTTGAACAGTGGCGAAGAAGTAGATGTCATATACCTCGATTACGCCAAAGCGTTCGATAAGGTGAGCCGCAACATACAACTTGCAAAAGCAAAACGTTACGGAATTCATGTTACAATGGTTAAGTGAATTCCTAACAAACCGCCTCCAGACAATAGTCGTTGAAGGAACTAAGTCATCCTTCTGGTGATAAGTGGAGTGCCACAAGGTACAGTGTTGGGACCGATTCGGCGATTCTGTTCATTCTCTACATCGGTGACCAATTGGACGCACTGCTTACCTCTCTTGGAAAGATATTTGCTGATGACACCAAATTCATCGGCAAGATATTGGACCTGGCCACCAAAGCATCGCTATAAGTATAAGAAGACCTCTTCGACGTCATTGCCTGGGCTCGAAGAAACAACATCCAGAAAATGATCCAATCAGCAAGCACTATGTCATCCTGGGTTCTAAGTGTCTTCAAGGACAGATCACATATCTAATGCTTACCCTAATCAAAACCATGGTGCGGAGTAAGCTAGAATATTGCTGACCTGTCTGGAATCCAGCCAAGACATAGATAGAGGCTATAGAAAACGTTCAACGACAATATACCCGACGCATTAACGGATGCAGTGGTTTATACTACTAGGAATGTCTCACGAAACTCAATATCATATCATTGTAGAGACGTCGAGAAAGGTACACCCTGATCCACACATGAAAAATTCTCAGTGAAAGCGGCACAGCTGTGGAATCTTCTTCCCAAAGAAATAAATTCCATCTCTACTTTGGACCTGTTAAAATCGTTTCTGGCTAAAGCAGTCTGTTGTAGACAACTGCCTCACTCGGTATCAACATGTGCTCTCCAATAAAGGACGATGGTTCGAGCAGATAATAAATTATACATATATTATATTAGAGTCACATATCTTAGTGTTTTTTTATATATTTGATATATTTGTTACTACATTTATAACCAAAATTGAAAAGGTTATTTCATTTGTACTAAATTTAACAATAAATCAAAAACAGGAAACTATCTATGAAACACCCTGTATTTCCAATTTTACGTTTTATTTTGACCACATAACAATCTTTTGATCAGTTTCCGCTATTTATTCATAAATATTGTATTTATCAAAATTGAATTATGGTCTTGAAATTGGAAATGATATAAATCCCTCGATCACCAGTCTTGTGAAAAAAGTAACAGATAATACAAATTTACAAAATATTTAACATTAATCTCCTACTATACATGTTTAATTGAAGCAAGGAAAAACAATGTAGGAATGTGATATGTAACAGCTGTGAGCTTTATTAAGCATAATCCTGTACCGCACTGTAACTGCACTGTAACCGCACTGGACCGAATAAAAGCTGCCATTAAATTCCATATATTAACTGAGCGATATTTAACTGTTAGTAGTAGTATACTGTCTGCCAATTTACACTAATTATCCATAAAATAGTCAGATATAGGCTGAACACTGTTATTAATTCACCATACTAACCATGGTAACCATAGTTACCATAACACATACTACTACTGTTCCCTGTTAAAAATATAATGTTTAATAATAACAACACATGCTATCTAATGTGCAATTCTGAGGGTCTATTTTATTGATGATTCGAACATCACGTGATCCGTAATTTCTTAACCGAAGGATTGCTACCCTCAACTTCGTGTGCCTGTTTTTCTGTCCACTTGTCAGAATTCTGTATTGCTACCCATCCTGTAGCTGTCTTCGTTACTGGTCCGTTTGAAAGCACTGCCTGAAAAATAGCATGTATGACACACGAGTATTGAGGAACATATTATGATATTATGAGTCTAAAAACCACAATTTCACAAACACGATCATCTTAAGTAAAAGGTTTACAAATGAGTCCTACCTTGTACTCTCCAACATTAAACGGCTGCAAATTGTCGATGACGTAAGTAAGATTGAGCCAGTTTGAGTTTAGCGAGGGTGATGCTGCGGCTAGCAACACATCTTCATCTTCTTCCGTCTAGGATTCAATTTTGTGACTTTTTTTTGAAGATCACGAGAAATTCACTAAAAGATATGAAGAATAAATATGAGTATAAAATAGTATGACGAATAAAAGATATGTAAAATGTAAATTTGAATCCTTCGGCTTCCTGTAATTGGTTGGTTACACTTGTGTAACAATGTGGCTGTTGGAATATCCGAATTAATATAAGTGTTGAGATTTATAAAAAAAAGTATCTCTAGCCCAAAATTATTTCGGGTGCTAGTACAGACCTTGAAGATAGAAAGTCTAAGTTTATCGGATCCGTACGCCACCACGTTCAGTTTTACCTCCTTACCTCGAGCACTCGTCACATTATCGAGCACTTCAGCAAACTGGGGTTTAAAAAGTAATTAAACTAATTGTGAGCACTTCAGCAAACTGGGGTTTAAAAAGTAATTAAACTAATTGTGAGCACTTCAGCAAACAGGGGTTTTAAAAGTAATTAAACTAATTGTGAGCACTTCAGCAAACTGGGGTTTCAAAAGTAATTAAACTAATTGTGAGCATTTTAGCAAACTGGGGTTTTAAAAGTAATTAAACTAATTGTGAGCACCTCAGCAAACTGGGTTTTAAAAAGTAATTAAACTAATTGTGAGCACTTCAGCAAACTGGGGTTTTAAAAGTAATTGAACTTTTATGTTCATTTTTATTGATTTTGTAAAGTTGTACTTATCACGAATCAAACGTTAGTCATCGTTCAATGTTACCACAAAGCCTTTACAACTTTAAGATCGTTCAAAAGATACTAACTTAGGTAACTATGGTAATAGAAAGATACTAACTTAGGTAACTATGGTAATAGAAAGATACTAACTTAGGTAACTATTGTAATAGAAAGATACTAACTTAGGTAACTATTGTAATAGAAAGATACTAACTTAGGTAACTATGGTAATAGAAAGATACTAACTTAGGTAACTATTGTAATAGAAAGATACTAACTTAGGTAACTATGGTAATAGAAAAATACTAACTTGTGGCTCAATAAACCCGGAGGGAACATCATCAAATGTATTATCGAACAAGTGATCCTCTTCCATTGTCTGTAAATCATTAGCCACATTAGAGTTATTGGTCACGTTCACCCAGAACGACAGTTTTCTGTTTAAGTCATTTCCAGCTGCAACAACCACATATTTCCCTGTAAAATGTGAGTTACCTTATCGGACCTTATTTGGACGGACATTACTTGAACGCTGGAGGCCCTAGCGTTCATCTTAATGTCCGTTCAAATAAAGTCCGTTCAATTAATGTCCGTCCAAGTTAAAGTCCGTTGAAATTTTTTCAAAAATTGTTCCATTTCGAACTTTTTACCCAGAATATGACAACTATGAGAACTTTATTGTGCCGTAAGTTAACGACGGAAAGGTTCTCCTTGGTCTGCCGGAGGCACAGAAAACTTTAGCTTTACTAGTATATGATGTTTTCAAGGGTCACTTGGCGGAAAAAGTCAACGAAATCATGACACTCAACAACATAGTTCATGAGCTAGTCCCCGCCAACATGACAAACTTGTTCCAGCCTCTAGATATTACGGTAAATCGTGTTGCCAAGGACATTGTCCGACGTTTTTATAGTTCATATTACTGAGGGGAGGTAATGAAACAGTGCTAGGAAAGCTCCACGTGATGTTAAGGTTAACCTTAAGTTGTCTAAGATAAAACCACTTCACGCCGAATGGCTTGTAAAAGTTAACACTGAAATGCAGGACCAGGGTAGTTTGATAAAAAAGGTTTCCACAAAGCTAGAAATCACTGATGCTTGTTTAAGCATGGACTATTTCATGCACGAAAACCTATTTAATGAAGATGATATGTGATATTAGACACTGATCATGTACACATATTTTAACATTTTTACTGCTTAATGACTGCTATTCTTACTTACTGTATAAAAAATGGATTAAAAAATCATTTGCTGAAATTAAAAAAACGTCAAAAATCAAAAAAAATTCGGATTTTTGATGGTTTTGAATGCCTTCGAGCGTTCATATTAATGTCCGTTCACAATTATGTCCGTTCATGTAATGTCCGTCCAAATAAGGTCCGATAAGGTAAATTTATAGTTATACATGTTACACATGAGTTAAATTACCCCTCTTATTTTGGGCAGATCTAAATTTCGAATCTGAGAGACTGTAAAATTTCCCTGGTCAGTGGTCATAGACAGCTTAGGATTACCAAAGCTGTCTATGACCTTTTAGTTCCTTAGTTAGTTAGCCTGCAGCTTTAAGTTCTTATGTTTTAATACCGCGTTTTTACCCTGGTCGTCGGGCGTAGCCTCCTCTTTGTAGAACTGCACGGTCAAGTATGTCGCTGTGATGACGTCACGTGAGCTGATGACATCACGTGACTTGATGACGTCACGTGATTGATTATTTCTTCGTGACCGTCCTATCTTGAGGTTATCTTCCACTTTACTCCACAAATAATCCTGCACTCGGTAAACAAGTATCCTGCACATATTTAATGTTACAACTTTCGGAATGAAATATTTGTTAATTTAGCAATTTTTGTCTACGTTTTCTTTCAGGAAGTCTATATATCTTACGTTGGCTGGTCAGGGTAGAAGTCTATATATCTTACGTGGGTTGGTCAGGGTAGAAGTCTATATGGAGAGACCAGGAGAGACTGTCCCCAGTGCTGATACTTATGTTACCTGGGTTTTCCCTAAACTCCAGCAGCACTGAAACATGTTCAACTCAAGATAACGGAATAACAGCAGCACTGAAACATGTTCAACTCAAGATAACGGAATAACAGCAGCACTGAAACATGTTCAACTCAAGATAACACAATAACAGCAGCACTGAAACATGTTCAACTCAAGATAACGGAATAACAGCAGCACTGAAACATGTTCAACTCAAGATAACACAATAACAGCAACACTGAAACATGTTCAACTCAAGATAACGGAATAACAGCAGCACTGAAACATGTTCAACTCAAGATAACACAATAACAGCAGCACTGAAACATGTTCAACTCAAGATAACACAATAACAGCAACACTGAAACATGTTCAACTCAAGATAACACAATAACAGCAGCACTGAAACATGTTCAACTCAAGATAACACAATAACAGCAACACTGAAACATGTTCAACTCAAGATAACACAATAACAGCAACACTGAAACATGTTCAACTCAAGATAACACAATAACAGCAGCACTGAAACATGTTCAACTCAAGATAACACAATAACAGCAACACTGAAACATGTTCAACTCAAGATAACACAATAACAGCAGCACTGAAACATGTTCAACTCAAGATAACACAATAAATAACCACTAGTTCAGGCGTGTACCTGAATTTTATATTATTTTCAGGTACCACAATACCTCAAAATAACTATAATCCTGTCTTACTATCACTAATAATATTAATCTCGTTTAGTTGATTAATTATTAAGTACCTTGTTTAGTTAGAATAGTGACTCTGCCGAATGATTTCCTTACTAGATGTCTATTCCCAACAGTAAACATGTACTCTCCACTGTTCGCACTGATCGCTGATACCACCTGATAACGACCTGGGACAATTAATTTGAAAAGATCTTTGTTCATTTTGATATTAGTTTATTGCCTCCAAAACGTTTTTATATTCTTTGTAAAATCTCCAATTTCCCAAAAATGAATAAATGTTAAATATTGTACTCCACCTATGAATCTACCGGGAACCACAGAGTAGAAGTCGAAGTCGCTAAGTTTCACCCACTGGTCCTGGCGATATTGGTACATTTCACTGTAATCAGGAACCACGTCACACTCTACTTCTACCTGGACAAATTGTGTGATCAACAAATAAAACTCTACTTCCACCTGAAATTGTGTGATCAACAAATAGAACTCTACTTCTACCTGGAATTGTGTGATCAACAAATAGAACTCTACTTCTACCTGGACAAATTGTGTGATCAACAAATAGAACTCTACTTCCACCTGGAATTGTGTGATCAACAAATAGAACTCTACTTCCACCTGAAATTGTGTGATCAACAAATAAAACTCTACTTCCACCTGAAATTGTGTGATCAACAAATAGAACTCTACTTCCACTTGAAATTGTGTGATCAACAAATAGAACTCTACTTCTACCTGGAATTGTGTGATCAACAAATAGAACTCTACTTCTACCTGAAATTGTGTGATCAACAAATAAAACTCTACTTCTACCTGGAATTGTGTGATCAACAAATAGAACTCTACTTCCACCTGGAATTGTGTGATCAACAAATAGAACTCTACTTCTACCTGGAATTGTGTAATCAACAAATAGAACTCTACTTCCACCTGGAATTGTGTGATCAACAAATAAAACTCTACTTCTACCTGGAATTGTGTGATCAACAAATAGAACTCTACTTCTACCTGGAATTGTGTAATCAACAAATAAAACTCTACTTCTACCTACACACATTGTAACTAAACCTCTAGGACTAAGAACTCTCCGTTTTTTACTTCTGTTTTCTTTTCAAGCCCACGTATTATCTCCAATCTTGGCTCCCCTGTAATAATTATATATATATATATATTTATCCGTACCATTTTACTGGCCTCCAAATCAGCATATAAAAATAAAAAAATTGGCCAAGGAATAGGAATTTTAGGGTTCCTAGTTACTGTAATAGGTAAGTAAGTATCCCCTGTAAGTATCTCCATGTACACAAATTCCGAATTCTTGCTTTCGGTACACAATTAAATAGACATTGTTTGGGTGATCAATTCAAATATATACATTATAGAAATATATAAATAGTTCGACAGAGTATCAATATTCAGAAGTAGGCCACAGTTTCTAGCAGATTATCTCCATGTCTACCTAAACCTCCGTTAGGGCTGGTTGAGTTCATGCTATCCAAAGAAACTCTCGTTACAACAGGATGATCCTCTGTAAGGGTACTAGGATGAAGGATATCTACAGTGGAGATCTTCTGAGGCTGTGTAGGTAGGAGTGGAGTAGGTCCGGTCTGTAATATCGAAGACTAGTTTAGGGACGGTGTTATCCGAGTTAACTCTGAAGGTAGGATTGCAGGTTGAAGTAGCAGAGACAGAGTAGGCGAATGTTGCGGAGACAACATGATGATTGGGTACGGTACGATTTGCTGACATTTCCGTTATATATGTGGTATTTTCAGAGATATTGGAAGGCTCAGGTTGGTATGGAGAGTTGATGTAGTCGTCCTCGATGAAGCCACTGTTTAGGAAAAGCTGTTTGTTGACGATCTGACTTCTCTTATACATGGTCTGGAAGTTATGCGGAGGGTGGGAGTGGTGAGGTCGTCTGGAGGAGGACTTCTTGGATTTGGAAGCAGTGAGGATCATAGAGTGGTTGTGGGCTGGAAAGGGTAGAAAGAAGATGGCTGACAGGAACTCTTGGAAGGGTAGCACTGCCCCATTGTACTAGTTATTTACAAAAATGTAGTGTTTATTAGAGATGATGTACTAGATGGTGATTGATATGCCGTATGTCGAGGTGGATGTAATATATACTCAAGGTTTTGACACCACTTTCTCCTTTGCCTCGAGGGTGAAGCACGGTAGTGTGATCAGAGAACATTAACAAGCACTGAGCCCTGACACTTGACACCCATAATAATCGGTCACTGAAGTGGATCACATCGCATCTTGATGGATAGGTAATACGATCAGCTTCTTGGTAAGCACTAAGCAAGTAGCAGTCTACTGTGCATATTATTATGGAGCACAGTTAAATTACGACTACATCAATAGTTTTGAAATCGAGTGTGTCCTAAAGACTAATTTAAGTTTTGAACAGTCGATGCAATAAATAGCGTAAATTAATTAAGAGCAAAGTTTAATTGAGAAATGAAAACTCGTTTAATCTCTAATTAAATACTAACTGGTTCGCTGAGTAACGTTAACATGGGAACGTGTCTCTTCCCTGGCTATGGTAACCATGGTAACAACATTAGTAACCATGGTAACTAATTAAATACTAACTGGTTCGCTGAGTAACGTTAACATGGGAACGTGTCTCTTCCCTGGCTATGGTAACCATGGTAACAACATTAGTAACCATGGTAACTGATTAAATACTAACTGGTTCGCTGAGTAATGTTAACATGGGAACGTGTCTCTTCCCTGGCTATGGTAACCATGGTAACAACATTAGTAACCATGGTAACTGATTAAATACTAACTGGTTCGCTGAGTAATGTTAACATGGGAACGTGTCTCTTCCCTGGCTATGGTAACCATGGTAACAACATTAGTAACCATGGTAACTGATTAAATACTAACTGGTTCGCTGAGTAACGTTAACATGGGAACGTGTCTCTTCCCTGGCTATACTGTTTTCAAATGTGGCTATGTAAACTCCGCTGTCCCCCAGTCCTACCTGAGAGGATTTATCATAATAGGAAGTGTCACAGTGCTGTAACATACCTTATCATGATAGGAAGTGTCACAGTGCTGTAACATACCTTATCATGATAGGAAGTGTCACAGTGCTGCAACATACCTTATCATGATAGGAAGTATCACAGTGCTGTAACATACCTTATCATGATAGGAAGTGTCACAGTGCTGTAACATACCTTATCATGATAGGAAGTGTCACAGTGCTGTAACATACCTTATCATGATAGGAAGTATCACAGTGCTGTAACATACCTTATCGTGATAGGAAGTGTCACAGTGCTCTAACATACCTTATCGTGATAGGAAGTGTCACAGTGCTGTAACATACCTTATCATGATAGGAAGTGTCACAGTGCTGTAACATACCTTATCATGATAGGAAGTGTCACAGTGCTGTAACATACCTTATCATGATAGGAAGTGTCACAGTGCTGTAACATACCTTATCATGATAGGAAGTGTCACAGTGCTGTAACATACCTTATCATGATAGGAAGTATCACAGTGCTGTAACATACCTTATCGTGATAGGAAGTGTCACAGTGCTCTAACATACCTTATCGTGATAGGAAGTGTCACAGTGCTGTAACATACCTTATCATGATAGGAAGTGTCACAGTGCTGTAACATACCTTATCATGATAGGAAGTGTCACAGTGCTGTAACATACCTTATCATGATAGGAAGTGTCACAGTGCTGTAACATACCTTATCATGATAGGAAGTGTCACAGTGCTGTAACATACCTTATCATGATAGGAAGTGTCACAGTGCTGTAACATACCTTATCATGATAGGAAGTGTCACAGTGCTGTAACATACCTTATCATGATAGGAAGTGTCACAGTGCTGTAACATACCTTATCATGATAGGAAGTGTCACAGTGCTGTAACATACCTTATCATGATAGGAAGTGTCACAGTGCTGTAACATACCTTATCATGATAGGAAGTGTCACAGTGCTGTAACATACCTTATCATGATAGGAAGTGTCACAGTGCTGTAACATACCTTATCATGATAGGAAGTGTCACAGTGCTGTAACATACCTTATCATGATAGGAAGTGTCACAGTGCTGTAACATACCTTATCATGATAGGAAGTGTCACAGTGCTGTAACATACCTTATCATGATAGGAAGTGTCACAGTGCTGTAACATACCTTATCATGATAGGAAGTGTCACAGTGCTGTAACATACCTTATCATGATAGGAAGTGTCACAGTGCTGTAACGTACCTTATCATGATAGGAAGTGTCACAGTGCTGTAACATACCTTATCATGATAGGAAGTGTCACAGTGCTGTAACATACCTTATCATGATAGGAAGTGTCACAGTGCTGTAACATACCTTATCATGATAGGAAGTGTCACAGTGCTGTAACATACCTTATCATGATAGGAAGTGTCACAGTGCTGTAACATACCTTATCATGATAGGAAGTGTCACAGTGCTGTAACATACCTTATCATGATAGGAAGTGTCACAGTGCTGTAACATACCTTATCATGATAGGAAGTGTCACAGTGCTGTAACATACCTTATCATGATAGGAAGTGTCACAGTGCTGTAACATACCTTATCATGATAGGAAGTGTCACAGTGCTGTAACATACCTTATCATGATAGGAAGTGTCACAGTGCTGTAACATACCTTATCATGATAGGAAGTGTCACAGTGCTGTAACATACCTTATCATGATAGGAAGTGTCACAGTGCTGTAACATACCTTATCATGATAGGAAGTGTCACAGTGCTGTAACATACCTTATCATGATAGGAAGTGTCACAGTGCTGTAACATACCTTATCATGATAGGAAGTGTCACAGTGCTGTAACATACCTTATCATGATAGGAAGTGTCACAGTGCTGTAACATACCTTATCATGATAGGAAGTGTCACAGTGCTGTAACATACCTTATCATGATAGGAAGTGTCACAGTGCTGTAACATACCTTATCATGATAGGAAGTATCACAGTGCTGTAACATACCTTATCATGATAGGAAGTGTCACAGTGCTGTAACATACCTTATCATGATAGGAAGTATCACAGTGCTGTAACGTACCTTATCATGATAGGAAGTGTCACAGTGCTGTAACGTACCTTATCATGATAGGAAGTGTCACAGTGCTGTAACATACCTTATCATGATAGGAAGTGTCACAGTGCTGTAACATACCTTATCATGATAGGAAGTGTCACAGTGCTGTAACATACCTTATCATGATAGGAAGTGTCACAGTGCTGTAACATACCTTATCATGATAGGAAGTGTCACAGTGCTGCAACATACCTTATCATGAGAGGAAGTGTCACAGTGCTGTAACATACCTTATCATGATAGGAAGTGTCACAGTGCTGTAACATACCTCATCATGATAGGAAGTGTCACAGTGCTGTAACATACCTTATCATGATAGGAAGTGTCACAGTGCTGTAACATACCTTATCATGATAGGAAGTATCACAGTGCTGTAACATACCTTATCATGATAGGAAGTGTCACAGTGCTGTAACATACCTTATCATGATAGGAAGTGTCACAGTGCTGTAACATACCTTATCATGATAGGAAGTGTCACAGTGCTGTAACATACCTTATCATGATAGGAAGTATCACAGTGCTGTAACATACCTTATCATGATAGGAAGTGTCACAGTGCTGTAACATACCTTATCATGATAGGAAGTGTCACAGTGCTGTAACATACCTTATCATGATAGGAAGTGTCACAGTGCTGTAACATACCTTATCATGATAGGAAGTATCACAGTGCTGTAACGTACCTTATCATGATAGGAAGTGTCACAGTGCTGTAACGTACCTTATCATGATAGGAAGTGTCACAGTGCTGTAACATACCTTATCATGATAGGAAGTGTCACAGTGCTGTAACATACCTTATCATGATAGGAAGTGTCACAGTGCTGTAACATACCTTATCATGATAGGAAGTGTCACAGTGCTGTAACATACCTTATCATGATAGGAAGTGTCACAGTGCTGCAACATACCTTATCATGAGAGGAAGTGTCACAGTGCTGTAACATACCTTATCATGATAGGAAGTGTCACAGTGCTGTAACATACCTCATCATGATAGGAAGTGTCACAGTGCTGTAACATACCTTATCATGATAGGAAGTGTCACAGTGCTGTAACATACCTTATCATGATAGGAAGTATCACAGTGCTGTAACATACCTTATCATGATAGGAAGTGTCACAGTGCTGTAACATACCTTATCATGATAGGAAGTGTCACAGTGCTGTAACATACCTTATCATGATAGGAAGTGTCACAGTGCTGTAACATACCTTATCATGATAGGAAGTGTCACAGTGCTGTAACATACCTTATCATGATAGGAAGTGTCACAGTGCTGTAACATACCTTATCATGATAGGAAGTGTCACAGTGCTGTAACATACCTTATCATGATAGGAAGTATCACAGTGCTGTAACATACCTTATCATGATAGGAAGTGTCACAGTGCTGTAACATACCTTATCATGATAGGAAGTGTCACAGTGCTGTAACATACCTTATCATGATAGGAAGTGTCACAGTGCTGTAACATACCTTATCATGATAGGAAGTGTCACAGTGCTGTAACATACCTTATCATGATAGGAAGTATCACAGTGCTGTAACATACCTTATCATGATAGGAAGTATCACAGTGCTGTAACATACCTTATCGTGATAGGAAGTGTCACAGTGCTCTAACATACCTTATCGTGATAGGAAGTGTCACAGTGCTGTAACATACCTTATCATGATAGGAAGTGTCACAGTGCTGTAACATACCTTATCATGATAGGAAGTGTCACAGTGCTGTAACATACCTTATCATGATAGGAAGTGTCACAGTGCTGTAACATACCTTATCATGATAGGAAGTGTCACAGTGCTGTAACATACCTTATCATGATAGGAAGTGTCACAGTGCTGTAACATACCTTATCATGATAGGAAGTGTCACAGTGCTGTAACATACCTTATCATGATAGGAAGTGTCACAGTGCTGTAACGTACCTTATCATGATAGGAAGTGTCACAGTGCTGTAACATACCTTATCATGATAGGAAGTGTCACAGTGCTGTAACATACCTTATCATGATAGGAAGTGTCACAGTGCTGTAACATACCTTATCATGATAGGAAGTGTCACAGTGCTGTAACATACCTTATCATGATAGGAAGTGTCACAGTGCTGTAACATACCTTATCATGATAGGAAGTGTCACAGTGCTGTAACATACCTTATCATGATAGGAAGTGTCACAGTGCTGTAACATACCTTATCATGATAGGAAGTGTCACAGTGCTGTAACATACCTTATCATGATAGGAAGTGTCACAGTGCTGTAACATACCTTATCATGATAGGAAGTGTCACAGTGCTGTAACATACCTTATCATGATAGGAAGTGTCACAGTGCTGTAACATACCTTATCATGATAGGAAGTGTCACAGTGCTGTAACATACCTTATCATGATAGGAAGTGTCACAGTGCTGTAACATACCTTATCATGATAGGAAGTGTCACAGTGCTGTAACATACCTTATCATGATAGGAAGTGTCACAGTGCTGTAACATACCTTATCATGATAGGAAGTGTCACAGTGCTGTAACATACCTTATCATGATAGGAAGTTTCACAGTGCTGTAACATACCTTATCATGATAGGAAGTGTCACAGTGCTGTAACATACCTTATCATGATAGGAAGTGTCACAGTGCTGTAACGTACCTTATCATGATAGGAAGTGTCACAGTGCTGTAACATACCTTATCGGACTTTTGAAAGGAAATTAATTGGACGCTGGAGGTACTAGCGTTCATTTAAATGTCCGTTCAAATAAATTCCTGTAGGGTAGTGAAATTATATACTGATCATGAATGCCTTCGAGCTTTTATTTTAATGTCCGGTCAAATAAATAATAATAATAACTTCAGGTATGTGGTAAGATACGATGATAGTTCCATCTTCACCCTCCAGCACTGTCGAGTCTAGCAGTTTCCTCCCTCCCTCACCCCTTGAGAATTCTATCCTGGCTCGTGGACTGGGATTTCCTGGAAGTTATGTGTCATCACATTATTTTCAATTGTGGTTAAAAAACATAGCTATGATTGAATATCGTAAGCGGTATGGTTAATTGTTTTGTTTTATACAGATGGTACAAATACTGACCCTGAGCTCTTGCTTCTTACAGTAGCAACATTAGTAACCATGGTAACTACAAATACTGACCCTGAGCTCTTGCTTCTAACAGTAGCAACATTAGTAACCATGGTAACTACAAATACTGACCCTGAGCTCTTGCTTCTAACAGTAGCAACATTAGTAACCATGGTAACTACAAATACTGACCCTGAGCTCTTGCTTCTAACAGTAGCAAAATTAGTAATCATGGTAACTACAAATACTGACCCTGAGCTCTTGCTTCTAACATTAGCAACATTAGTAACAATGGTAACTACAAATACTGACCCTGAGCTCTTGCTTTTAACAGTAGCAACATTAGTGACCATGGTAACTACAAATACTGACCCTGAGCTCTTGCTTCTAACAGTAGCAACATTAGTAACCATGGTAACTACAAATACTGACCCTGAGCTCTTGCTTCTAACAGTAGCAACATTAGTAACCATGGTAACTACAAATACTGACCCTGAGCTCTTGCTTCTAACAGTAGCAACATTAGTAACCATGGTAACTATAAATACTGACCCTGAGCTCTTGCTTCTAACAGTAGCAAAATTAGTACTTTAGTAACCACGGTAACTACAAATACTGACCCTGAGCTCTTGCTTCTAACAGTAGCAACATTAGTAACTATAAATACTGACCCTGAGCTCTTGCTTCTAACAGTAGCAACATTAATAACCATGGTAACTATAAATACTGACCCTGAGCTCTTGCTTTTAACAGTAGCAACATTAGTAACTATAAATACTGACCCTGAGCTCTTGCTTCTAACAGTAGCAACATTAATAACCATGGTAACTATAAATACTGACCCTGAGCTCTTGCTTCTAACAGTAGCAACATTAGTACTTTAGTAACCATGGTAACTACAAATACTGACCCTGAGCTCTTGCTTCTAGCAGTAGACTGTCTCCCTCCCTGAGGTTGTGGGACCGCAGCGGCTTTATCACTGAATTAACAGGTCTGTTACTGTTAGTGTTACTAGTAATACTGCTATAAAATCCGGTGCATATTTCGTTATATAGTTGGATGTTAAGTTAGACTTGAAAAGCTGACGGGAGATAGCGAAATTTGTCGCTATTACAAGTGGTAATAATTATATAATTGCAAACCCAAATCGAACTTGACGCAAACAGGGAGGAAAGGGTGGGCTACTTAATTCAATGTGACACGTGTGGAGCTGAGAGCCGCGCAGAGCAGAAAGTATTTATTACAATTGCAGACAAAGGAGGAGCGACACTGATTATGGACTACAGAACAGTGATGAAATCAGTTGTGTCTAGTTTTTTTTACGCACCCTGTATTTGTAAAACCACAGTTTAAAAAAGTAAATTTATTTTTCCTATTTTGGTTTGAAGCTATTTTGGTTTGAAGCTAAACTAAATCACGATATCAATGTTTTTATATGGATGCAAGGTCATTCAGTTTCTAGTACAACTAAAGAACCAACCCCGTATATATTTAAACACGTAACTGGAAAGGGTTTACTTACTTGTGAGGTAGTTGTAAGTTGTGTCAGTACAACTACCACATGTTACTTACTTGTGAGGTAGTTGTAAGTTGTGTCAATACAACTACCACATGTTTACTTACTTGTGAGGTAGTTGTAAGTTGTGTCAATACAACTACCACATGTTTACTTACTTGTGAGGTAGTTGTAAGTTGTGTCAATACAACTACCACATGTTTACTTACTTGTGAGGTAGTTGTAAGTTGTGTCAATACAACTACCACATGTTTACTTACTTGTGAGGTAGTTGTAAGTTGTGTCAGTACAACTACCACATGTTTACTTACTTGTGAGGTAGTTGTAAGTTGTGTCAATACAACTACCACATGTTTACTTACTTGTGAGGTAGTTGTAAGTTGTGTCAATACAACTACCACATGTTTACTTACTTGTGAGGTAGTTGTAAGTTGTGTCAGTACAACTACCACATGTTTACTTACTTGTGAGGTAGTTGTAAGTTGTGTCAGTACAACTACCACATGTTTACTTACTTGTGAGGTAGTTGTAAGTTGTGTCAATACAACTACCACATGTTTACTTACTTGTGAGGTAGTTGTAAGTTGTGTCAATACAACTACCACATGTTTACTTACTTGTGAGGTAGTTGTAAGTTGTGTCAATACAACTACCACATGTTTACTTACTTGTGAGGTAGTTGTAAGTTGTGTCAATACAACTACCACATGTTTACTTACTTGTGAGGTAGTTGTAAGTTGTGTCAGTACAACTACCACATGTTTACTTACTTGTGAGGTAGTTGTAAGTTGTGTCAATACAACTACCACATGTTTACTTACTTGTGAGGTAGTTGTAAGTTGTGTCAGTACAACTACCACATGTTTACTTACTTGTGAGGTAGTTGTAAGTTGTGTCAATACAACTACCACAAGACTTCCGGCAATTAGGAGCAACGTACCCGTTATCAACTCTCGGGTCACACATACCAGACCTGGCCAAGTAGTAAAGTGGTAAAGTGGTAAAGTGGTAAAGTGGTAAAGTGGTAAAGTGGTAAAGTGGTAAAGTGGTAAAGTGGTAAAGTGGTAAAGTGGTAAAGTGGTAAAGTGGTAAAGTGGTAAAGTGGTAAAGTAGCCAAGTGGCAAAGTTGTAGAGTGGTAAAGTGGTAAAGTGGCCAAGTAGTAAAGTGGTAAAGTAGCCAAGTGGTAAAGTTGGGTGTTTGTTGGGATTTGTGTGGATCAAATGAGATTCAATATGTTTGAATCGTATGGTCACGCATTGATCGTGAGAACGCTCACCCGTTAAATTGTTAAAACTAGGACCGTGTTTCACACAAAACAAACCATCATTCTGTCAATAAATATGCTGATCACATTTAACGGTTAAATGTTAACAAGGATTGTTCACTTACTCGGCCCAGATAGGACAATACCGATGGTTATCTTTGCATTCTTCTCCAAACACACCCACCAATAAACTCAAAACAATCAGCAGCATCTCTCAGCTTTGTGATAGAAAAGTTTAAGTTTAAATAAATTTACGATCTATAATAATCAATAACTAGCAGTTGGTTACTACATAAACCAAACCAATATTTTGCTAAAGAACGAGTTAATAGGTAACGCTATAACAATGAATTAAGTACGTACTCAAAAACGGAAGTTCCTCAAATTTTCCCAGCAAGGACCGGCACAATTTTCCATTTCTCACAGCCTTTATTGGCAGCCTATTGAATCCATATATTTTGTACCAAGAATTATGCACTGCTTTAATTTTGGTCGGAAAAGCCATGAGAAGTACCGTGCTACATGACCTGGCTTACCTGTGTACCGTGCTCTATGGGTGTAATGGGTGGTTCACATATTACGCAGTCAGCCGAGGGGGATGGGGATTCCAAATGATTACGCTACTGTAATTTTTACACAATAGCTATGTGTAAAACTGACTACAGAAAGGGGGAGGGGGTGGTACCAATTGTCCAAAATGTGATTACGTAATATGTGAACGACCCTTAATGGTACCCCTAATGGTACCCCTAATGGTACCCCCTAATGGTACCCCTAATGGTAGATACATTGCGTGGAACTTATCTCACTGATGATTTACTTAAGATACTCCTACATATTATACAGATTGCACCACGTCATTTGTTATAACTTTATAAGAGCAAAAATTGCAGCAGCCAGAACGGTTCAGTTAATCAACAAACGATTCGGCTCAGCAAGCAAAAACATGTTGACAATGACTTCACAAAGTTTTAGCTGACCTAGTTTTGGCGAAGTAACTACACTTACTAACTACTACTACCCTCCAATCAAAGTGTTTAAAACCACCCACGTGTTTAATACCATCCAATAACAACCCAATAACCCAATAAAAACCAACTAACTTTTGTTAGCCGGTAGTGTACGAACACGATTAATAAAACTGTCTTCCGGTACCTCGAGAGTTCAAAATGCCATTTTAATGAGGGTACAAGAGAGAGAGAGAGAGAGAGAGAGAGAGAGAGAGAGAGAGAGAGAGAGAGAGAGAGAGAGAGAGAGAGAGAGAGAGAGAGAGAGAGAGAGAGAGAGAGAGAGAGAGAGAGAGAGAGAGAGAGAGAGAGAGAGAGAGAGAGAGAGAGAGAGAGAGAGAGAGAGAGAGAGAGAGAGAGAGAGAGAGAGAGAGAGAGAGAGAGAGAGAGAGAGAGAGAGAGAGAGAGAGAGAGAGAGAGAGAGAGAGAGAGAGAGAGAGAGAGAGAGAGAGAGAGAGAGAGAGAGAGAGAGAGAGAGAGAGAGAGAGAGAGAGAGAGAGAGAGAGAGAGAGAGAGAGAGAGAGAGAGAGAGAGAGAGAGAGAGAGAGAGAGAGAGAGAGAGAGAGAGAGAGAGAGAGAGAGAGAGAGAGAGAGAGAGAGAGAGAGAGAGAGAGAGAGAGAGAGAGAGAGAGAGAGAGAGAGAGAGAGAGAGAGAGAGAGAGAGAGAGAGAGAGAGAGAGAGAGAGAGAGAGAGAGAGAGAGAGAGAGAGAGAGAGAGAGAGAGAGAGAGAGAGAGAGAGAGAGAGAGAGAGAGAGAGAGAGAGAGAGAGAGAGAGAGAGAGAGAGAGAGAGAGAGAGAGAGAGAGAGAGAGAGAGAGAGAGAGAGAGAGAGAGAGAGAGAGAGAGAGAGAGAGAGAGAGAGAGAGAGAGAGAGAGAGAGAGAGAGAGAGAGAGAGAGAGAGAGAGAGAGAGAGAGAGAGAGAGAGAGAGAGAGAGAGAGAGAGAGAGAGAGGAGAGAGAGAGAGAGAGAGAGAGAGAGAGAGAGAGAGAGAGAGAGAGAGAGAGAGAGAGAGAGAGAGAGAGAGAGAGAGAGAGAGAGAGAGAGAGAGAGAGAGAGAGAGAGAGAGGAGAGAGAGAGAGAGAGAGAGAGAGGGAGAGAGAGAGAGAGAGAGAGAGAAATATCTTGAAGGCTGGCTGTCAATCCAGACTACGGCATAGAGTTCCTCCGGGCCCTGAGAGTGGTGTTAGAGAGAGAGAGAGAGAGAGAGAGAGAGAGAGAGAGAGAGAGAGAGAGAGAGAGAGGAGAGAGAGAGAGAGAGAGAGGAGAGAGAGAGAGAGAGAGGAGAGAGAGAGAGAGAGAGAGAGAGAGAGAGGAGAGAGAGAGAGAGAGAGAGAGAGAGAGAGAGAGAGAGAGAGAGAGAGAGAGAGAGAGAGAGAGAGAGAGAGAGAGAGAGAGAGAGAGAGAGAGAGAGAGAGAGAGAGAGAGAGAGAGGAGAGAGAGAGAGAGAGAGAGAGAGAGAGAGAGAGAGAGAGAGAGAGAGAGAGAGAGAGGAGAGAGAGAGAGAGAGGAGAGAGAGAGAGAGAGAGAGAGAGAGAGAGAGAGAGAGAGAGAGAGAGAGAGAGAGAGAGAGAGAGAGAGAGAGAGAGAGAGAGAGAGAGAGAGAGAGAGAGGAGAGAGAGAGAGAGAGAGAGAGAGAGAGAGAGAGAGAGAGAGAGAGAGAGAGAGAGAGAGAGAGAGAGAGAGAGAGAGAGAGAGAGAGAAATATCTTGAAGGCTGGCTGTCAATCCAGACTACTGCATAGAGTTCCTCCGGGCCCTGAGAGTGGTGTTAGATACAGTTTTTCCTTTAGGAACCTAACTGACCCACTTTCCACTCCTACCTCTTCTCCTCCTTCTCCTCATCATCCTTCTACCCCTCCTCATCATCCTTCGACCCCTTCTAACACTGGCCTCCCTTTAGTCTCTCCTAAGAAGAATATCATACTCCTCGCTGGAGATTCATACTTTGAGCGACTGGAAATAGAAAAACTGGCCAAGGGTAAACAGACAGTTTTCAAAGTCGCTAAGGGTGGTTGCAAGATTGATGATGTATTACACTCAATCGAGCAATTTGTGAGAGACCACCCCCGGCCCTGATCTAGAGATTAAGAAACTGTTTGTGTGTGTAGGGACTAACGACATACGATACTGTCAGACTGGCATATTACACCTTAAAAGCCCTCTGCAGAACTTTATGTCCAAAATTAAATCCTTCGCTCCCTTAGCAAAGATATTTGTCCAGTCCCTCCTCCCTATACCTGCTAACAGTAACCCCAAAGGAGAACAAAATGTGGTCTCTATGAGCAAATTACTCTTTAGTCTTAGTTCCAAATTTAAATTATTTTACCTAGGAACTACCAATTATTTCCTAAGTATAGTCTAGAATCGAAGAAGTGGGATATTCACCCCAATGCTAGGGGTATGGGTGTGTTAGCAAGACACTATATCTTTCTCATTCATTCAACATGGTTTAATCCGTTGGGCTACTAAAATCGGTATAAGTATGATTCATAATTTTTGTAGATAAATTATTTAGATGATGTATTAATTAGAAGTGAATTTTGGGTGATAGATACCATCGCTGTTCAGTACGCCGAAAAACCGATAAAAAATGATAAATTTTGTCCAAATGCGCACGTATTTCTTACGCGAGTACAATTGGTACATTAGCTGCCACGCGCCGCACATCTGACATCATAATCTAGGTTGCCTAATCAGTAATCGGCTTCATAATCCGCCTGAATACAAATTGCTACCAAAATGGTAATTTTAATGGATCTATGTCGCATGGTTGAAATGACAGATTTGAACGAAGTACGCGTACGCAAATCACTTTTGAAAATACGTATTCGTATGCCGTACGTTTATAAGATACGCTACGTACTTAACATCCTTGGTTCTGGAATGTGAATTATGTAATACCGGGAGATGAGCCGTTTTACAATTGCTACATGCTACACGAAAAGGTCTCTTCCTAGTCGTTGCAGTGGCCTACATCACACACATCTCTTGTACGGCGTAACAACTAACAGGTTCCTCCATTCCACTCAGTTATCAGTGCTTACTGTCGTGCTGCATCTCGGCTGATGTTGTCAACACCTATAAAGCTAGCAGCATCCTCGAGTTACAATTAGTGAGTGTAAATGTTCTGTCATTTCTCTTTGTGCTCTCTGTGCGATACAAGTCGCTATGTGACGATTTCAATATCTTACGTTGTAAAGTTAGTGATAACCTAGTCGTAGTTATTAAGATATATTATGTTAAATAAGATATATTATGTTAATTAAGATATTTTAAAATGTGTGTTGGAGTGGCCTGCATCACACACATTTATTATGTTAATCAAGGTATTTAAAAATGTGTCTTTATTTGTACGTGTCTTAATCACTCTGCACCTTAAATACCACTTTCTGTACCTGTCATTAAGTTTTCACCTCAATAAGTGGTGACCGCTGGTTTTCTACTAAGAAAGTGACAGAGCTTGGCAAGTGGCAAATCAGGGACAACTCTCACAACCAGGTTGCATATTTATAAAAATAGTTTCGGCTAAAACCCTAAGTACTGATACTTGATGGCTGATAACTCCTAGCGTCAGAACCTCGGTATTATTTTACATTTGTTTAGCTGACAAGGTTAATTAAGACTAATATAATTAACATTTGCACTATACAGAGAAGATTGCTATGACTAAGAAGGAAACACAGTACGAGAAATACCTACGG